TTATTATATTTCTTGGTTCCTGTTGGAACTGAGGTGAATCCAGAGGGAGCAACAAGGACTGGCAATGTGGGCTAGTCAGATCAGCTGGGAGCAGCCAGGCCTGTGGTATGGTGCCTTTTCTTCCCTCTCTTATGAGCTTACTGTTCAAGGTTCCTTTTATTAGCCCATATGCAGGACACATGAGAATCTGACCCCTCATTCCAGTGGCTGAGGGTGCTGGACATAGCTCCATGCACCGGTATTACATGTTTTGGGGTAGAAGTACTAAGTCCTTTTACTCAAGTAATTTTGTATTGAACTGTGCCTAGAGCGGAGTTTTCAGAGGTCTTCGGAGGGTCTCCATGCAAGGCCTTTCCCAGACACATGGCTTGCAGGCATCTTCCTCCAAATACTCAGGCTTCTCTTGCAGCTTCTAATATAGAAGCTCTAATGCGTACCAAAGTGCACTTTGCTGTGTTTTTCTTCTACAGACGGGCAGGCTGTTAGTGACCTTGGCTAACCTCAGAGTAGCAAAGAACTTCTTCGTTCTTTCTACCACGTTCATCAGCCAGTCTGTTTGACTGCAACTTCTGTAGCGGTTCCTGTTGTTCAGGCTGAGCAGTTACAGTCGACAGAGGTTCAGCAGTCTCTTGAAAGCCCTCTCCCTGCCTTGAGTTGTGTCTCTGCACATCTGTCCTCTGTTCTGCCCACTGCTCTGTGTGCGTGCACAGCACGGGGAAAGCTGGAGCTGAATACGTTCCCAGATAGCCCCAGCCTCTACCTTTGCTGTCTGCCTTCTTCCACATACATGCTGGAGTTTTTACAAAACTTCCTGCTGAGCCTTGCACGGGGATCATGCTAAGACAACGGCGATCCTGATTCTTCCTGCCCACAAACATGGTGCTTCTCTCTCTCTCTGCTCATTTGTGGGTTTTTTTTGGTTTTTTGAGACAGAGTTTCTCTGTATTATTTTGGAGGCTGTCCTGGAACTCACTCTGTAGACCAGGCTGGCCTCAAACTCACAGATCCACCTGCCTCTGCCTCCCGAGTGCTGGGATTAAAGGTGTGCACCACCAATGCCCGGCCTGTGGTTTTTTGTTTTTTTTTTTATTGTGAACATTGGTGTTTTGTAACTTTTAGTCCAGGAGTCATACACATACCTGGCTAGGCTTGTTCCCGGATGTTGCGCCTTTTGGTGTTATGTTGAACTGCACTGCTGTGTACCAAAGCTTGAAGTAAATCTATTGAGTTAGTTGATCTCATCGTCTTTTATTGCATTGTAGCTCAGTTTCTAGACAGACACTGCTCTTTCAAGACAGTATTTATGGTTGTACATTTTTCATGTTGAATCTGGAGCTTCTTGGCTTGACCTTTGAAACTTTGTAAGAAAATGCAATACAGATGATTTTATTACCATGGCTTTTTGTTATTCTGAACAACATGATTATGGCGAGTGTTCACTGTCTGCCCTTTGGATAATTTTATTTTTATTCTTGGGCCATTGAGTTTCTGGCGTCTCCTGTCTGGGTGCTGCACGCTTGCAGTATCTCCCACCGCAGACTTGCTTCTGATTCACTGTCCTCTGGTCTTTACACCGTGAGTGCTACTTAGGCTGATGTCCGACCACTCGTCCCACAGTGTGACTGTATGATTCACTTTGCTGTGTTTAGAAAAAAACAAAAGAATCTTAGTGCTGAAGAGCCTCTGGAGACTGATCCAAGACCCTTCCTTTTAAAATAGCATTATAATAATAATTATTATCATTATTATTATGGTTTTTCAGGACAGGATTTCTCTGTAGCTTGGGAGGCTGTCCTGGAACTCACTCTGTAGACCAGGTCTCAAACTGACAGAGATCCACCTGCTCTGCCTTCCGAGTCCTGTGATTAAAGACATGTGCATTATTTATTTGTGTGTGTGTGTGTGTGTGTGTGTGTGTGTGTGTGTGTGTGTGTGTAGGTGTATCTATAGAAGTCAGGGGTTCAAATTCAGGTTGTCAGCTTGGTGGCAAGCTCCTTTACTCACTGAGCCATCTCACTGGTCCAAAGTCTCTCTCTCTCTTGTCTCTCTCTCTCTCTCTCTCTCTCTCTCTCTCTCTCTCATTTTTAGAGCTGAAACACACACAAGTGTTAGAGAAACACAATATGGGTTTTGTGAGCTTGTTCCCCTTAGTGAGGAGTGAGGCAGGTGCGACTCATGTGCAGTGTTTCCGGGTAATTCACATCCTCGCTCAGTGGTTCCTGAAGGTGCTGGAGAGAAACGTGGAAGCTGGAAATATCCACCTGAAGGCATTTCTGAGAACCCTTGCAGCATGTGATCTTGGTTAACCCTGTTACTCCTCTCTCCTCCCTCAGCATCAGGTTAATTGCAGTGGATCTTAGACATACACTCCAGGTAAATTATATTACCATTCCCATCCTTTCGTGTTTGCTTGAGGATATAACATACTCAAAGTTTGTTTTTATTTTTCTTTAGTGCCAAACTCAGCAATCTCAAGTGCTTAGGAAATTGCTAATTACAAAAGGAATGCATATTTGAAAGTCACACTGATAGCATTTTGTTTCTATTATTGGCCACATAAAATTTTTAATTGCTAAAGGCAAGAGTCTGGTTATATCTCCAGTATAATATAATAGCTCCTCCAGGAAATTATATAACCATAAATTATTTTTTTTTACTTTACCCCTGCCACTGTTTTGTTGTTGTTTTATTTTTAAGACATGGTGTCTCCTTGTGGCCCATACCAGCCTAGAATTCACTATATAGCCCAGGATAGGCTAGAATTTTAACAGTCCTTCTGCCTCAGCCTCCTGGGTGCTGGATTTTAGGTAGGTACCATTTGACTGTATATTGACTTTTTAAAAATATAGATTTGTATTTTCTGTCATTTTAAGTGCCCTCAGTCCCCAGAACAGATTAAGGAGCCTCATTCTAAAAGCCCTGAGCTCTTCTTTCTTCTTATTCTCTTGTGTTTTTTCCCTTTGTCTGTGTGTGAGTGTGAGTGTGTATATATGTGTGAGTGTATGAGTGTGTATGTGTGTGAGAGTGTGATTGTGTATATATATTGCGAATATGTGAGTGTGTATATGTATGTGAGTGTGTGTGTGTATGTGTGTGAATCAGATGTGCCATGCTCCTCCAAACATGAATAAATTTGTGTGTCTCAGGAACAGGGCTCCTCTCTGAGCTGCCCATGGTACAGTGCCAGTGTCTGCACAGCCCACATCCACCAGGGAACCGACCACTGAAGTGTTCACAGTCCACACCCACACCGGCAGCAATCCTCCTTTGCCTGTCCCCATTGCCATCCTTTCTCTGGTTGGCCCCTCAGTTTTCCCTGGGTTTCCTGGCACTCCCATTTGGAGGAGCACAGGATGACCGCCCTGTGAATAAGCCATGACTTTGGTTGTCAGTTACAGCTCTGTGTACACACATGTGTGCACACAGTGTCCTCTGCCACCCAGTGTGGCTTAGTGTTTACACAGACTCATCCTAAAACGTGGAGGAAGTCTCCATACAGCTTATCATTTCTGAGCTGGTAGTCAGTTACAGCTGCCTTCTATTCCCCCACATCCTCTGCTGCCCTAAGCCCCTGCACTGAGGTCTTTACCTGTGCAGCGGTGGCCCTCACCTTCACTCCTGAAGGGTCTGGACTCTGAGCTGCCCATTCTGAGTTGGGCTGAGGTTCCCACCGTGGCCATAGTCATTAGTGCTTAGTGAGGTCCCTCCTTCCTTCGTGGCACATGCGTCCTTTCTCGTCTTCCTGGTGAGTCCCCATTCAAGTGCACTTGGTCTTCAGTCACTCACTGGAGTCCCTTGGGTGCCTATGGATTTGGAGGTGGGAGGAGCTGTGGCACTACCGGCCCTCCCTAGCAATGCAGGAGGCCCAAACTGAGCACCTGGCTGTCTTAGAGATTCAGAGTACATAATAAACATTGAGAGAATGGCAGGCACATGGAGTCCCTTCTATGTATCTGTACCCAAATTGTTCAACTTTGATGCCCAGACATTTGCCCACTCTATTATTGGGGTGTTTCTCTTTTAAAGATCCACTGATGAGAATTTCACCCGGGAGCTGGAGAGGTGGCTCAGTGGTTAGGAGTACTTACTGCTCCTCCAGGGGCTGGGGATGTTCAGATACCAGAACTTAACCCTGAGAGCAACCTCACGTCTAGCTCCAGGAGATCCAGCTCCCTCTTCTGTCTTGGCAGGTAGATACCTTTCCTGGCCTAGCCATCTTCATACCCCCCATCCGTTTGGAGTCTTTGATTCCTTCCTCTCTACCCTCAATGCCCTTGGCTTGTTCAGGCTCCACAGTGAGGCTTCTGCTGAGTGTCATGGTTCTGAAGGACAGGAGGCTTGAAACTCAAAACACAAACTGGAGTGGAGGGCTGGTATCTGCCGGGAGGCCTGTGGGGAAAGCTGTGGGAAGGGATAAGCTTTCCTGGGTCAGGAGGTGCTCTGTGCAGTGACACGAGATAAGCTTGCTTTGCAAGCTTAAGGGTCTCAGGTTGGATGCCCAGCACCCATCTGAAAACCCAGGTGTGTCTGCGCTCACCTCTACCTCCAGCTCTGGGGGCGCAGAGACAGGTAGATTCCAGAGCTCACCAGGAGACACCTGTTATTGACGTCTAGCCTGCACACGTGCACACACTTACCCGCACCTCTTGGACTGTTAATTCACTGTAGTGACCTGGGACCCAGGGTGGTGGTACCAATGTGCATTTAAACAATGGGAGGGGCCTTAAGCAGAGGGAAAAAATGCCAAGCCAGATATGTATGGTACAGTCACCTGGGATCCATCCCTCCAAGTTGTCCTTGGCCTTTTCAATTTCTCTCTCTCTCTCTCTCTCTCTCTCTCTCTCTCTCTCTCTCTCTCTCTCTCTCTCTCTCTCTCTCTCTCTCTCTCTCTGAAGTAGGGGAGGGAGATGCTAAGTTATAAACATGTTATTTCGAAGAAGCCCTGCAGGATAAAATTTTTCTTGTTTCCCTGGCTGAATTTTTTCCTTCTTTCCCTTTAGGCTTCCTGCTATTTAAAGACTTCTGTCTGAATGAAATCGATGAAGCCGTGCCGCAGGTGAAGTTTTATGAAGAGGTAAGACTCTGCCCTCTCATGCAATTCCCTCCCAATGTGTGCTCGGCTTAACGTTGGAAAAAATATTAAGGATCATAAACACCTTACATAATTCAGAAGTTCATTAAACAGCTTGGCGGTGGCAGATGGCGTTAGCAGCGCTGGCCATGCTCAGGCTCTAGAATAGTCATGACCCTTTGGGGGGAATCCAATGAGTCTTTCATGGGGTCACAGATATTTGCATTATGATTCATAACAGTAGCAAAGTTACATTATGAAGTCGCAAAGAAAATTATTTTAGGGTTGGGGTCACTATGACTTGAGGAACTGCATTAAGGGTTGCAACATCAGGAAAGGTTAAGAACCACGATCTAGAGGCGTTGGAGCACAAGCGAGGAAGAGTGCAGCTGACTAGAGGCTCCAGAGTCATTCGGAGGTCATAGGCGACACCTGACTTTTGGCCAGCTGTAGACTTTGGTTGTGGGTTGCTGGGTTTGAAAGAGAACCTAAAACCCGAAGTTTCCTGGCCCTCTTGGAGGACTACAGTGGAGACTTTGTGGGGCCTGGGGCTCCCAGACACACATCTGCTTTCCCTAAGACACTGGGTGAAGTTTGAGGGGCCTGAAGAGTTAGTGTAGAAGTTTCTGGAAGGTCCATTGAACTCTAACTTAGCCTTATGAGGGTTAGAGAATGAAGACCTCCTGGGAGCCAAATGTGTAAGCGAGGGACACCCTGGTGGAGTGATCTGTCCACTGCTAACGTACAGCCACTCTTTTGGGGTGAAATGGGTAGTTGGGAATTCAGGCGCCCCACTGGCTAGAGAGATGATGCTTCTTCAGTGGGAGACAGAGAGAGTGGAGATGTTTCAGGGACTCAACTGAAACCATATGAGCTGGAAAGGACCCTGTCCCTCAAGACACATGCTGAACACTGAAGCCCAGGAGAGTGGGATGCCACCAGGCTAGGCTGAGAACTCCTTGATCTCTAGGAAAGACCTGTCCTTTAACTCCATGGAAGGCCACACTCAGGAAGGGATCAGATCAGAGGCAGGCCAGGCACAGGGAGAGCCTTTCCTTGATGGATGCAGGAAGCAAGGTGACAGGACACAAAGACGGGTAGACAGACGCACCGATAAATCAAATAGTGGAGTAATTGGCAAGTACTCTGAATAACTGCCGGTAGAAGCCAGAGAGGGTTGAAGTGGGTGGGTGGGGGGTTGTTGGCACAAGCCTGCGATCCCACACACATAAGGCAGAGGTGGTATGGTCCCGAGTCCATCCTGCCCCTTCCCATCATGCCCTCCGGGTGCTGTGAGATGTGACAAGTCACATGGCCGTCTCTGGCGCGAAAGATGCCAAACTCCCTGAACTCAAAGGGCTCACATCATGGGGACTTAAGCCTGCCCACTTCTCAGGACAGCCGTCATGACAGACAATCTTAGAAGAGAGAATGTAACAGCAGAGGGTCAGTTCCTAAGATTCCCCCCCGCTTGTTCGGTCATATTCATTGACCACCAGCCTCATGCCTGGCACTGTGCAGTGAATAAAAGGCAGAGTCCTGTCTGTCTCTGAGCTTTCGCTCTGGTAGAGAAAGCCAACAGTCAGCTGCTCCAGGGGCTCAGACAGACCCAGTGTGGTGCATTGTGGATTGGTGACCACTCTACAGGGATGAGTTCAAGGTCATTTCAGCAATGTGGCATTCAAACAAGAACGTGGGTGACAAGAAGACTGGAGGTGGGGTCGGGAGAGCACAGGAGGCCACACAGCTCCCATGGTGGGAGGAGCCTGGCATGTGAGGAGCTTATACTCAGGAGGGCAGTGTGGAAGTGGGGGATGGGGAAGACAGGCGAGTTAAACCACAGACACGGTGGCAGATTCTAGTGTGGAAAAGCGGTGTGTCGCGTGTGCTGATTGGTGGCCTCTCCCATGTGTTGGGTGCCCTTCATCCTGACTCACTTCACCTCAGGTCTTTGTCACCTGTGAGAGAGATGTTAAAATCTCCCATTCTGATGCTGAAAGGCCTTTCTGATGTCTGTTGTCATTTTCCCTGTATGTTGGAGCTCGGTGGAGGCTCACACTGGGATGTCACTGTATGAAGTGCCCGGTCTCTCGGTCTCTCATATAAGAGCCCTCCTTTGTCCTAAGCTGGGTTCTTCGTCCCTGGGCTGTGGCCACAGCCACACCTTCTCCTTGTGCTTCTGGGGAGGTCCCTTCTGGGCAAGTGTCACTTGCGTCTCAAGTGTTTTGACATAGGTAAATGTGTCTGCTCTCCATGATTTTAGTCGTCATACTCATTTTGCAGAGTTTGTTGAAATTCTTCAGCCTGCACATTTACATCTTTAACCAAATCTGAAGCAACTGGAACGATCATCTCTTAGAGCACACACTCTCCTCTCTTCCTGGGCCCTGGTCACATTTTCATGATCGACGGATATTTTCCTGTTGTTTTTCTGTCAATGTTTTCTCTTTCTCTTCCAGAAACTGGATATCTTTGGCCTGTCTTCAAACCCACACACCCTTTGTCTTCAGCTTCTGCAGCCTGCTCTCCCATCCATCCATCCATCCATCATCCATCCATCCATCCATCCATCCATTGAGCCCTTTAGTTCAGATTCTAGAATCTCACTTCTGAAAATTCCAGTTGATTTTTTTATAGCTGCTGTTCTGTTTTTATTTCTATTGCTGCGATAAAATACCCAGACAAGAAACTCAGGGGAGGAAGGGATTATTTTGCTTAAAATCCTGGATCACAGTCTGTTGCTGAAGTCAAGGCAGGAGCTTGGAGCAGGTCACATTACAGTCAGGAGTAGGAAGGCCCCAACGCTGTTCCTTGTTGATTTGCTCTGGGCTAACTTTCTCCTCACAGCCTTTCAGGACCCTCCTTCCCCACCTAGGGCACAATGGCCCTTGATGGACCGAGCCTTCTCACATCAATTAACAATCCAGACAATGTTCCATAGATTTTCCCAAGGGCCACCTGCTGCAGAAACCTCCTCAGCATTCCTGTCTTCCTGGGCGATTCTAGGCCACAGCAAGTTGATGTTAAAGCTAAGTAGCATGACTATTCCATTCTGCTGTTACGCATCCCTTCCTTCATCACCCAGATGTTCTGTTGTATCTAATTATAGTCACTGATGTGCAGTGCTTGCCCTGGTAATTCCAGCCCTGATCTTGTTGGAATTGACCTGCTTTTTCTGTGTGTTTCCTTCACAGGTTAACAACAAAAACACATGTGAATACGCGCACACACACACACATGTCTATTAGTGTAACCACGCGTACACATACACACACACACACACACACACACACACACACACACGAACACGTCTATCAGTGTAACTGACAATCAAAGCTGCCCTAAACTCCCGAAAGGGTGTGTGTTGTTTAGTGCCAGCAGACACTGAGCCTGGCCCTCCCACATCCCTGTGCAGTGTGTCACCACTGAGTCTTGTTCAGTTCCTCAGCCTTTCTGGGCCACTGAGATTGACCATGCCCCGATGTCCTCACATCATCACCTACCCAGCAAGGTGGACAGAATATCTGTGTGGATTTTGAAGCCTGCCTTTGTGGTTCTTCTTCTCCAGAATGCTCTTCTCTCATAGCCTCTGTCTGACGCCCCTTCTCCATCATCCCTGCCTGATAGGCCACTCTCCGGTGCTTCCTTGGATGGACAGTCACTGCCTCAGGAGGACCATTCTGCTCCAAGCTAGTTGTCTGGGACTGTGACTGATTTTGAATGAAGCACAAGCATGGAGGGGCTGATGGGTTAGAAGACACAAGGGTGCGGCATGTAAGCCAAGAGTGGAGTCCACTGTTGCCCTCACCATAACTGGGGTGGAACGTGGTGGCCATGGTCTGCTACAAGTGGAGACAGGGCTCCTTTAGATGAACCCAAATAGAGATGCTCTGTAGCTGCTTTGTAGGAAAGGTCAAATGTGTGGTTGCTACTGGCATCTGTGGACCTGATATCTTTCCCTAAGATGTGCGTGGCTAGCGACAAAAGCCTTACAGAACCTCCAGTGCTCTGAAGCCAGTGGGAGACTGAGAGGAATGGAATTGAAGCCCTGGAGATACAGAACTGGAATCCCAGAGAGATGGAGATAGGACACAGCTGTGGCCTGGGCAGTGACATGCTCAGCCATGTGTGTGTCCAAGCAGAGAGCAACTGCATGTTGGAGGCATGCCGTCACCCCTGACAGTACTTCGGTTCTTCAGCATGGAGACACCTCTAAAGTGGTCCCACCTACTTAAGAACCCGGTCAGCCCTCCTACCAGCATTGGGGGTCATGTTACTAAATTAAGAATTCCTTTTGGCCAACAGAGTCATGGCCTGTTCTTTAATTTGTGAGCCTTCTGAAAGGAAGGGAGATACGAGTTTTGGTGCTGGTCCCATGCTTGCTCTATTTCCTCTGGTGTTCATGTAGGGCTAATCAGACGCTCGGAACACAGATACAGTGCTGTGCCTCATTGGTTCATGAAGCCAGGATTGTCTGTGTAGCAGCAGGAGACAAATCATGGAGACTTCCAGGGAATTAGCACGTGACTCATCAGATGCCACTCTGCCGCACAGGTCCCCTGGACTCGTATCCCATCACGCTTGGGTTCAGGATATTAGTTGGGGAGTAGTGCACTATGGCTTGAGGTTGTTTGCATGTCAAGGGACAAACCTTGGCCTCTGATTGGGTTGCATCTGTTCTAGAATTCAGGCTTTCTGGCATTAACCCTTGAATCTCCCAAGACCAAAACGAAACCAGAGGAACCAACAAGCAGAGCAATCGACCAAGCCCCAGTCCTGTTGTTTCTGATGGCTTTGGGTACATTGTGCCTGACTTTGGCCACCTGGCAATGGCATCTATGCAGCTGCCGTGTGGTTAGTTTTCAGAAACTGGAGTAGAATAGTTGAATATGGTTCCTTAGTTGCGACAACTTCACTGAGCTGCCACTGTGCAGGGACCTCTGATCCTCTTGCCCACAGTGACTGTTGTCTGCCCCAAGAAGACCCCGTTCCAAGCCCTAGAAGTCCCATAGGCATGATGGACAGCCACCATGCTACATTGATGAGTGGATCCCAGCAAATTCTCAGGAACCTGCTAGTTTTTACAGGGCCTCAGTGGGACACTGCCCTGTTGTAGAGGTTTCTGTCCAGCCACCCTTGAGCCCAAAATAAACACACGGATGCTATATTAATTATTAAACTGATGGCCGATGGCTAGGGCTTCTTACTGGTTAGCTCTGCTTTAATTATTAACCCATTTCTATTAATCTAAGCATTTCCACATGGTCTTATCTTACAAGAGAACACCTGGCACTCCTGTCTACCCAGGCTTTACATGGAGGCCTCTTTCTACAGTCTTTCTGTCTACCTTTCCCAGAATTCTTCCTGTCTCCTAGCCCTGCCTATTTCCCTGCCTCTTTCAGCCAAACAGTGTTTTACTCATCAGCCAATAAGAGAAGCATATATACAGAAGGACATCTACCATCTCTACCCCCTCCAAACTACGACATCATCTGTGTGAGAAATCTTTGTAGGATTGACTGGTTTTGATTCTAGTATGTGACCACCAGTCTGTGAGGTCAAAGTTACTCCCACAGGGAGGTCCCTGTTTCTTCCAACCAGGGTGGACGGCTCTCAGGTGTGACACCATGAGTGTAGGTCACATGCAGCATTGTGGTGTGTGACAAGTGTCTCTACCTTCATGTTTCATTGTCTTCAGTATTGTCTTGTGTTGTTGAAATGTATGTGTAAAGAAATGGGAACAGTTTTCTGACCAGAGACCTCTTGTGATCATATTTTAGCAACTGGGACCATTCCCACATATGACAGTTGTCCCTAAACTCCATTCCATTTAGTCAACTGGTGGCCTTCCCTAGCATAGCATGTGAACTATAGTATGACCTTCTTTCCTTCCAACTGTTTAGCTGTCTAGCCCAAGTTAGCCTTGGCCACACTCCTGCTGCCTCTGCCTCCAGAGAACTGGGACAACAGCCACGCACATGCCACCCCAGGCCTGCAATTACACTAGTGCTGGAAAACCAATGCTTTTATCCAGGAGTCCATTCTACCTCCCAATACACTCTTTCTTCATACGACTTTTAGAAATCTCATGGCAAATTAGGACTCATTCCCCCTGATGATGATGGAACTCTGGTCGAGTGTGAACATGCTCCATCTCAGGGCTGAACAAGCGTAGCCAGATGAGAAAATCTTTGCTTTGGAGTGACCTGGCCGGGCGGATGGCACCTGACCTCTGTGCTGCAGGGTGGCTGTGGCCACAGTAGTCTTTGTTTCCATATTAAAAGGCTCAGGGTCACCACAGAGGGAAATCCATTGTGTTTCTAGCTGGGCCTAACTTGATGCAATCTGGTTATCCCCTCACGCGAAGTCATTTTTTAGCTGCTTCGGTAATTTGTCTTATCTCTCGTGGGGAAGGGTTCCTGGCTGGGTCAGTCATGGTTCTAAATAAAGCCGGTTTCTAGGAAGCCGTAAGCTAATGTTGATGACTTCCGGAAATGCAGATAAAAGAATACGAGAAACTGGACAACGAAGAGGACCGGCTGCGCCGGAGCCGACAGATGTACGATGCCTACATCATGCGGGAGCTCCTGTCCTGTACACATGTGAGTGTCCCACTGCCTGGGGTTCCAGGAGGGAGCACAGCTGTATGGCTGCAATCCTGGGATGGGATCTGGGTCTTCTTTTCTGACTCAGTGTCTCCTGGTACACCATACATTTGCTTTATTCCCTGAAGCCAATGCTGGCACTGCCGGGAGCTGATGCTGTGAGAGGCTCGTTTGGATCATGAAGAAAAGTCTCTATTCTAGGCTTGATAAACAGAATGAGGATTTATTCTCATTCTTAACCTCACTATTTGATAGGGTCTCTATGTAGCCCAGGCTGAACTTCAACTCCCGATCCCTTTACCTCATTGTCCTATGCAGTAAGGCTACAAGCATACACTTCCACACCTAGATGCTACCGCCGCTGGTGTGATGATGATGGTCTGATCATGTGATGATGAGATTGGCGATGTGATGGTGAGGATGGTGTGGTGATGAGGAGGAGAATGATGAGGAGGGTGATGATGATGATGTGATGATTAGAGTTGCTGTATAGTTTGAGAACCTAGAATTGAACCCAGTGCTTTATGCTTGGTAGGCAAATACCACTGGGCCATCTCCCTAGCCTTGCTCTATTAGTTTTAATTTAGATGTACTTTAATAATTAGGTGAATCAGAATTTGACTAATATAAATCATCAGTGATGTATTGGGATTAATAAGGACTATAATTATTATGTTAATTTTATTCATGAATAGTTAAGTGATGGGTGAAATTGCTGTTTTCCTTAGAAGTCGGATAAACAATCTAATTGGGATAAACTAGATTTTTCAGGAACTGACTTCACCAGATGTAAGTGGGCTAATTATCAGGGTAGAATCTGCCACGTGGAGGATGCCTCTGTACCAGTGCAGGTCATTTTATAAAGGACATACAGTCTTCACCTACTCCATCCAGGTCATGGCCACTAGCCACAAAGGCTATTTGAGCTTATTTGATGTTAGATGAAGTTGCTTCGGAGCTCCCTGTCTGACTTATCTCGAGCATCCTGGGGCTTTGTGTGGCCATAGGCTCCCATATGAGACACCCCAAGGCACAACATTGTCCTACTGGATGGCCCCATCATGCCTTTAGCACCACAGTTCTCAGTGACGTGTGGGTGGCTGTGCACAAGCTGGGCCCCCTCAGAGCTTCTGTTGGCGTCACTGTGCTACACAGAGGGAGCTGGAGCTGGGGGAAGCTCATCGCTTTGTGCCCTGGTGCCTTGGCCTGCGCCCTAGATCATGCACGTGCTTCGTGGAGCCTGTGTGTGTGAACTTGGCTTTCCTCAGCTGAGTTATGGGAGGGTGCTTTGGCAGAACAGGTTTTATCCAAATGGCCTGTGGTGAGATTAAGTGAGATTTATGCTCAAGAGTTAAAAGCGGTGCTCTGAGAATCTTTGACACACTATGAGCTGCGGCATGCCGCTTGACCGACTCTATCCTGAACACTACAGAGATTTAAACGACAAGACTCAGAAAGTTGGCCTCTCTGCTGACAGACCTGCGTGTGTGTGTTTGCTGCTGTTTAGGGTGAATGGCTTCTCCCTGAAAGCCTTTTCCAGCATGGATTTTCTGTGGAGGTGGCTGTGGTAGTGAGGGCATACTTTCATGTTTCTATGAATTATAAGTGTAGGAATCCCATTAATCAGTGATAAACAACCTGAATAAAGCAGACTTCATTGAAAGGTTTCTGGGGTTTGTAACCCACATGGAAGTTCCGTTGTTTGCCCCAGCTGCCCTTTGCTGGGGCAGCAGTGAGACCTCCTGGACTCAGAGCCCTTGGCCACTGTGGGCTGGCTCGTCAGCTTGTGTAGAATTCCTTCTTGCACATTCCTGCATCCATTTTCTCTGACACAACAGACAGCTTACCTCTATAGAACTGTCATCAAGGAAGGAGGAGGTTATATAGTCGGGCAGTGGTGGGATTCCTTACACTCTGTTGCCATGGGAAACTTGACTACTGAGGGTTCTATTCTGGGCACCTGAAGAAGGACTCTAGATACCCAGAAGACACTAAGGGCTTAGACTCTCTGCAGAGAGCCCACAGGTTACCCTTATAGGATTGCTGTGTCAAACCATCTGTTGTAATGTGTGATCTGTAGATATGTCACCTCCTTATTAAAAACATGCTGTCTTTCTTCCTTCCTTCCCTTTTTAAAAAGACATTCTCAAAGCAAGCTGTGGAACATGTTCAGAGCCATCTCTCCAAGAAACAGGTGACAGCCACTCTTTTCCAGGTAAGATGAGATGGCTTCCAAACAAACGGCTCTGACCTGTCTCCCAGTCAGACCTGATAACTTCTTCTCAGCTAGCAGAATTGATGCCGTGTGGCGGTCTGCTCAGAACCTGCGCCAACAGGTTCTGCAGATGTTCCTGGAAAGGGGCCGCTGCAGCGTTCTTGTAACTATATGTTCTGGAAATCCACTGAGCTAAGACAGAGTCTAGCCTTCCTCCTGTTTGGCATATGGTGTCTATGATGAGGGGGTGAAACGGTTTCTGGTGATTATCCACCGGATTAAGTGAGACTTATGCTCGAGAGTTAAAAGTGATCCTCTAAGAACCTTCAGGGTTACGTGTCGCTTGACAGTTTCTATCCTGAACGTTGCAAAGATTTAATGCAAGACTCGGAAAGCTGGCTTCTCCGCCAACAGGCCTGTGTGTGTGTTTGCTGCTCTCCCAAGAGCCTTTCCGGCATGGGTTTTCTGTAGAGGTGGTAGTAGTCGTGAGGGCAGTCAGAGTCTCAGATAGGTAGCATGTATTCATGCTTCCATGGATTATAAGAAATGAAGAAACCACATGAATCAGTTTTCAAAAGTGAAATAAACGAATCCCTCTTCTACTGGGTTACCAGGTTATCTACAGTGAGATACACTGGTAAAGCCCAGGCTAGCCCCTGGATCCTCCACCTCCCCAGGGCCATTACAGTTGCATGTGACTGTGCCGCACTGGCTTTGGACTCGGTGTCTTAGAACATTACAAACTTCTGCAAAACAAAGTCAATGATTCTCAGATTCAGTGCACCTGTCCAGTGGCATGTCAGGTATTGCTTCCACCTTCAAGTTATGTGGACCTGTCTGCACAGTCCAGAATGTTCCCAGAGTTAGGGTCAGAACCTATGTCCCTAGCAACCCTGACAAGCTAGGGTCAACTGCCGGTCATTAATAAGAAATAGACATGAGCCAAATTAATAGTGAAGCACAGAGGAAGGAAATTTCTGAAGCATGGCCACACTGGGGAGAAGGACAAAGAGATCCACCCTACTCCTTACGTCTGTCACCTGGGTCCTGACTTGAGGATATGGTTTAGGTAGAGGGCTCTATATTGCAAAGCTGAGCAGACCTGGTCACATTCGGGTGTGGTCCCATCCGTCACTCTTGTCTAGGCTGTAGTGTCGTCGTCAATCCGCAAGGTGTTCTGATGAGTTCTCAGAACCACGCAGTGTACCCTCCTCTGGCTGGCACCATGCTTCAGCCTTTTCCTTCCTTGGGCATGAGATTCCTGGGGAAACTCTAGTTCTCTGGTGGCTGACAAAGGGGGACACAAGTATCTTTTTGGATTGTCAGCATCCCCGCCAGACCAGTTACAGGAAGGTTCCATGCTTCAGCTCTGAGCTGCCGCAGTTTCTGAACCCATCTTGCTCATCGATGAAAGGGCTTTGGTTCTCAGAGGCACCTTGGAGATTTGGTGGAGCGGGTACACACAGGATGCTTTTCAAGGGGCCTGCCCTTCTTACTGTTCCTCAGATGAAAGCTGTGATTAGTCTTACAGTTAGTGTGGTGCTAATGTCTGCATTGCCGTCTCCATGTATTTGTAGTGTGAGAACTTTGGCTTTCAACTGATTTGCACAGATAGCCCTTAGCCAGTCACTTCTGACATCACTCAACTGTATGGTATATTGTGTGTCACGCCACTTGAGGTTCCCATGAGGGAGATGAAATACAGCATTAAGAAAGATTTATCTTCAAGAACCAACAGTGACTGCTTGCAATAAAGAGTTTTATTTAACTTGTAGCCAGCTGGGATACTGTGTCCCAGATTAGGAATAGAGGCCCCTCAAGTCCGGCTTCCCTCTAGTCTGCCTCGTCCCATGGTGGGTGGCTTGAGGGTAGAGAGATGGGGGAGGCACAAGCCGCCTCAGGATGGGAGGGTGTGTCGGGGCTCACAGTCCTTGGGAACACAGCTCTCGTGACAGGGAAGGTGTGGTGGCAGGAGTCTACAGTGAGGAAGCTGCTGCTTCCCTCAATGCTGTTCCCATCAAGGCGGCTCTTCCTTCACAGACATGCAGAGAGATGTGTCTCCATGGTGACTCTAGACCCCACCAGGCTGGCAATCAGTATAGGTTTGATATGTTAAAATGTGGCCAGGTGGTGGTAACGTCCTTCTAGAGCGGCTTGATAGGAAGAATTCAGTATTCGATAAAACAGAAAAGTAAACCGTAAACGAGCCCACCTATCCCCTGTGGAGAAAACCTGTTCGAGGAACGTGACACCTCACTATTGAGTCCCCACCTGAGTCCCCTGATGCCACGACATTGTCTGCTGCTGCAGACTCCTCTTCCTGCTTTCTCCACATGTTTTGACAGACTTTCAGTGAAGGCACTGAAAAGGTTAAATTTCCCATCATCCAACTCATCAAGCGCTATGAAGATATTTTCCCAAAAGATCTAATGGACTGTGGTAAACTCTGAAGTATGGCTGTCTGCCAGATTCTTGTTCTCAACTTGAATGTGTGGAACAAAAATTGTGGCTTTTTATGCAGAACGACAAAGCAGAATTGAGGTAGAAAGTAATTGATTCCCCACGTGAGGAACCTGGAGCTCTCAGCGCCTCCTCAGGGAACTCCTAGAGGCCCCGACTGCACCCACTCCATCCCACAGCTTCCTTTCCCTTCTCCTGAGTACCTTTAGCTCTGAGTCTAAAAAAGGTATAATGTTAATTAATAACAGAGCCAATTAGGACAATTAAATGTCGGTCTATCGGCTTCCAGTCTTTAAATCTCAGTCAACATGGAAAAGGCTCATAGCAGTTTACAAAGCATGCTGGGAAACTCACTCATAGGGACCAGTGTCAAGTCAAACCATGTGATTCCCTCTTCTGAAATTAGAATTTCACCGAGCGGTGAAATCCCAGCAGGTGGATCTCTGTGAGTTCGAGGCTAGCCCGATCTACAGAATGAATTCCAGAACAGGCTCCAAAACTACACAGAGAGACTCTGTCTCAAAAACCCAAAAGCAAGCAAACAAACAAACCAGAAATTAGAATTTCAAGATGATGACAGAGGTTCGCATAGCTAAGGGCTGGGACCCTTTACACAGGTCACGAAGTCAACTCCTGTCCCTGAAGACGTGTCCATAGCTCATGCAGAGCTGTTCCTGCCCCTGGCTGTGTGGAATGTAGGGGGAGCTGGCTGAGACAACAACCCTGGGGTGAGCCTCTTCTTGACGAGGGGGACAGCAACAAGGACAAACACAGGGGCAGCGAGCGTCCCATGGGAAGCCTGGTTGCTGACCTCGGGCCCGAGCCCACTGGCAGGTGCCCTTTCTTTGATCAATTCCTATTTACGTGGTGTTGTTTCTTCTCCATCCTTTCCAGCCATACATAGAGGAAATCTGTGAGAGCCTTCGAGGGGACATTTTCCAAAAATTCATGGAAAGGTATGCTGCCTGGGGTGTGCACAGAAGCCTCTCGTGTGTGGATGCACAGCATTCCCCAGTGTGTGTTGCCCTTCTACTATACATTGCTTTATCCCTGCCCCAGGCCCTTAGTGGCCATGACCCATGGCTGGCCTTCTGTCATTCTCTTTCCCTGACACTCCATGCCATAGCTCTGGGGTGTGTAGCCTGATATACATACCCTGGTCCCTTGCTTTCTACTTCAGTATGGTCTAAAATTGAGACAGTCCGGGAAATTTCCATTTTACCAGGATCTCAGGGAGGTCTTTACTGACACAGTGTGGTGCCTGTATTTTATCTGGTTTTACATCTTGGGACCTTGGGGCATGTCTCCCAAAGGGGGGGCAAGCCTGGGAAGGGATAGGCTGTGTGCTCACAGGCATCGTTGGCACACTTAATGATTTGTCCCCTGGGTTTCCAAGCCACACGGCAGTGTGAATCTGATCCCCTGAAGCTGGTCAGTGCCCCCTGCGCTGTTTGCGCATGTGCCTGGCAGTGAGTTCTCAGTCCCCTGTGTGTCATTACCTCCACCGGTGCCTATTGTGATTCTGCTAGAACCAAGAGTTAATTATTTATCCCCGAGCGCGCTCAGTGTCTTGGGGAACCGCTGTTCATTTATGTGACTGCAGGGCTCTGATCCTGGTACCAGCAGAAACCTCTGGGAAGGCTCAGTGAAGCCAGGGAGGAGCATGGGCTCAGAGCTGACCTACAACCTCATCCCTGGCCAGCTCCCTTACCTTGATTTCCCAAATCTCGCTACCACCTCTGAGTCCATCTTACTCTTGTGTTATGGGGTTCCACTTGCTCCAGGCCTTAGGCCCAGTCTGTTCTTTACCTCAAGAGTAGATGATCCCTCACCATGCGATGCCAGGGAAAATCGCTGCGTCATTGTGAGTGTGGAGTTTGGGTTTGGAAAGCATGGCCAGTGAGTATCACCAGAGATATTCAGGTGGGTGGGTGTGTTCAGGGACCTAGATGAGATTTCCTGTGATCTCTGGCATCTGTCAGGAAGAGGGAGAAACCTCAGCAGTGTAGCTGTGGCCCCCTGCTGCTTCCAGGGAGTGCCTAAGCTGGGAGAGGGGAGGCTGGGTCCCCCCCTCCTCCGCCCCCCCCCTCAACTCAATGAGCCACTTATACTGAGCAGCAGAGGAGTAGGCATAGGCGCTGGCTGGAGCCACCTGGGCCCCTGTCACATCCTCCAGGTCCCCCCCTTCTTTATTCCCCCAGCTCCTGAGGTCCTTAAGCTCTGGCTGCCCAAGGCCCTGATCACTAGAGGTTTGCACTCTGCCCCAGGTGTTAATGAGGAACCGTGCCCACGTAACCCTGAGGCAGCAGATACTCTGCTTACACACCCAGGGGACATCTGTGCCCCCTGAAGAGGAACTTGTCACAGCAAGTTCATGCTTAGCAAGCAAAGGGCACTAGCTATTAGTCCTCCTCCTGAGCTGGCCAGAATTCTAAGGCTGATGGGCTGGTCGTAAATGTGTCAGATCCTGTCAAACCCAGACTCTAGAGAGAAGAGTAGGTTTGAGCCATGAGAGGAGGGGAGTCCCAAAGGCTGCTGCTTCTGCACAAACCAATGCACTTCTGAACTGGGATTTAAAGCTGAGCCTCATAGAGGTGAGGCGTTAGGAGGTCCCTCGAGAGACTCTCTAAAGTCCATTTTAGGGTCATGGGGAAAGTTGCTGTGTGTTTGCGAAGAGCACGGGGATTTGGGTGGTTGGTATCAGAAACCTTCTATTCAGGGCCTGTGCAGTGATCCCTGGGGGCTGTGGCAGTTGACTTCTTAAGCTTTCCCTTGGGATGCTGGTACCCGTGGCTCCATAAGAGCCCCGTCTTCCCTTCCTCCTCCTGCTTCATTTGAAGGACCTTGAATTCTGTGTCTTTACCAGGAATCAATCAGGGACGAGGTGAGATGCAACCTTCTGGTCCTTATCACCCCTCCCTTCCGGTCTCTCTCTCTCTCTCCTTCCTTCCTTCCTTCCTTCCTTCCTTCCTTCCTTCCTTCCTTCCTTTCCTCTCCCTCCTTTCTCTAGCTCTAGGGACCGAATCCAGGGCCCTATATACCCATTAAACAGACATTCCATGCCCAAGCATCACTACCCAAGCCCACACCCTGCAATCCCTCTGAATCTCTTAAAACAACAGCACATAAAATCCTGCTCATTATTAATGAACGAGCAAACATAATAATGCCTGAATTAAGAATATGGAGGGTAGACATTTCTCTACTGTGTGAATGAAGACCAACTTGGCCAGCAGCGGGGAAGGTACCCAGAGTGCCAGTGTGAGGGTCTCTGCTTCACCCCATGGGTCTTTGAGAGGTTCCAGAGCCTGTCTGTCTGGCTCACCTGCTCACCCATGTATGACGTTTGCCCAGTAACATTTTCTGGCTTTGATCTTGCAGCCATAAAGTGGGATCGGGATGCCCTGGTTCACAGGGCTTTGGAAAGGGGCCAATGAGCCGTGTGGATTGGGCATGCAGTAAACACGGGCTCTGTTTGGTGCTCTTGGGATATTTGTGAACCTTGGTTGTCCTTTTCTTTTTGGATATGTAGAGCAGAAGGTCTAAGATAGTGGAACCATCTATAGCTACCAAACCTGCGAAGCGAGACTCCTCCAAATTGAAACACCTTTCCTGTACAAAAGAAGCTGGGTCTCAGAGGCCTTGTATGGAAGGAAAGACATAGAAAATCATCACCCACACACTATTAAGTCAGATTATACATGTGGATGTGACAGCTGAGGAGAGGTGCCGAGTCTTTCATTTAAACAGGAAATTGAAGCCATGAACATTGGGTGAAAAATGTTTTAATATATTTTTTGAGGTTGTATGTCATCACCCCTCCCCTTCCAACTCCTGCGTTTCCAAGTTCATGGTCTCGTCTATAATTGCTATTGCTACAGACATATATGTGCATGCGTACATATATTCACGCAAATAAATAACCTGAGTCCACCTAGCTTTGCTCACATGGGCATGAGTGCAGGGCTGGCCACTTGGGATGGGACAAGCTATATGGGTGTTCATCCTTGGGGGAGAGTGATTTTCCTTTAGCGATGGGACCATGCGGGGTGTCTCCTGCCCCTGTTGGCTGGTATTATCACTGTGTTGGTCTTGTCTGGGCCACCATATTTCTGAGAATTCATGGTTGCAGCTTCCCCGTTGTAAGCTTCTACAATTTTTCCGCCCCTCTTCCAAGGTTTTCCCTGAGCAGCAGGTTCAGGGTTGTGTGGGAGGCATGTCAAGTGGGTGTTTGAGAATGTTTTCCTTGTGTGAGAGGCAACACGGGAGTTCGATTCCAGCCCGTCCCATGAGGCTCTTTGAGAATGCCATTAAGTGTTCATTTAACCCGTTAGTAATTGCTTATATTCTCTTTTAGCGATAAATTCACCAGATTTTGTCAGTGGAAGAATGTGGAGTTAAATATCCATGTGAGTACCATCCTTCTCTGTTTCCTTTTTTTCCTCTTTTAAATAAAAAAAAATCTTCCTCTGCCCTAGTGTCATGAGAAAATGCTTTGTTCTGAAACGTTCTCCCCAAGGGTTCTCAGCACAGCTGTCCTTGTAAGCTCTGTGGATTGAAAGGCGGCCTCCCATGCTCACTGACAAGCACTCGGGACCTTAACTTTCTTTTCTCATGTTTGTGCAAGAGTGAGCTTATATGCGCAAGAAGGGCTATTTTAAGCTGGAATTGATTGACCCCCAAAATAACAGTGACAACACAAGCCTTCCACTTGTGCAGCCTGGGCTCTGGCCACGTTGTGACATTTTTCTTCTGCTGTCTTACTGTAGGATATAATAAAAGGCACAGAATATTTTAGCTACAATAAAGTTTCAGAGTTGTTTTATTTCTTCTTCCTTATTTTGAAATTGGCAGAGGTGGGGGGTCGGGTATTTAACTCAACGGTAAAACACTAGTAAGTGCAAAGGTTCAGGTCCCAGCATTTGGACACAGACTGCCCCTGTGTGTCATTGCTAGGTAGCTGTCCCTCCCCTAGGCTGACATGTCAGCCATCCCAGGAAAGGACTGGTCCATTGGTCACGTTTAAATGCACAGTTCTGTCTCCTCCCTCTCACCTCCTCACATGGATCTTCTGGAAACACGGGGTTTTGATTAGACAAAAGAATAAATTGTGTTTTTGTTTCTAAAGAAAAATTTGAACCTAAAGCAGTTCTGTTGGAAGAGGGGCTCTTTAAACCTGCTGCTTGCATCACACACAGACAAATATACATACACAGATACACACAGGCAGACACACACACGCATACATATATACACACATGCACGCATATGCACACACATTATGCACACAGACACACAGACTCACACACCTTTCCTTGCCCCTGAGCTCTGTTGATGGGGGGAGCACATGTGTAAATGAAGCCTTTTTCTGTGGTTCTCTTTTATGCTCATCTGAGACTCCCCAGTCCCCACAGCTGGCCTCTCAGCATTTCCCAGTCAGAAGGACACTTGCTCTGAAACAGCTGCTCTTGACATGGACTCTTGTCTTCCCCTCAGGACAGTGCCTGGTCTGATTGTCCCCAAACTCTAGGCTTCCTGGAGGTTGAGATCACTTCTCATTTTGTCTAGGAATTCTACACTAGCTTGGTCCTAAGATCATGGCTTGCATAACCTAATGTTTTCAAGAGTGGAGGGACAGTCCCCTCCCACACTGAAGCCCCTCACTTGTCTCCATGTTGGGCCTGATGTGTCATGGGGAGGTGGCTTAGGGTCAAGCTGGTCCATGCTTCACCGTCCTGTGAGGCTCATCTTTCAGCTTAAGGAATCCGTCCTGGGAGGGGGAGATGACACCAGACTGTGTGTGCTTTGCCCTGACCTGACTTCATGTGATTTTGTGCCTTCATTTTGTCTTATGCCTCCACAGCTGACCATGAACGACTTCAGTGTGCACAGGATTATTGGCCGAGGAGGCTTTGGGGAAGTTTACGGCTGCAGGAAAGCAGACACCGGGAAAATGTGAGCCTCTGTCTTTGTCTCACCAGGACCATTAAGAGAATTTTATGGAGGCCCCGGTCCCACAGAACAAAACGGATGCTTGAATTTGGACCATAAGCCTGGTCCTTCACTTCTTAGAGCTGCTGCAAAGCTAGCAGAAGCCACATACAGAGTGTCCATGCTAGGGAGCCCATCCTGGAATTGCTACCTGCTCCCCTTTGGGCTTAAGCTAGGGCCCCCTGGTGCCTTCCCCACAGAGGCCCTGTAAGGCTCCTGCTGAGAATCTGCCCAGGGCTGGGGTGTTCTTTCCTTCCTGTTCTTCGGGGAAGGGTTTATGAAAACCATCCTGGCAAAGGTAGTGACAGGAGCGGCCTATGGAGTGTTTCAAAAGCCTCTCATCAGGGATAAGGCATTTCTCATGTGCTCAAGATTCCTTGCTGCCTCAGGAACCCAGCCACTATAAGAGCATCTAGGCAAACGGAGGAAACAGTAAACTGATGTGTTCTCCTATAGGTCATGTGACAGGGTCTGACTGTGCAGCCTTGATTGACCTGGAGCTTGCTATGTAGCCCAGGCTGGCCTCGGGCTCTTAGAGATCTGCCTGCCCCTGCCTCAAGACACCCCAACAACTGGGGTCAGGGGAGATTGAAGAAAATGTGACAGTCACACAGACCTGAAAAATCCTCTTCTGGCTTTCTGTTGTTTTACTGAAAGTGCTTTCTGCTTTCCTCCATCTGTGATGGTTCTTGCAAATTTTAAGTTGTCAGCGGGCCCCCTCAGTTAAACAGCCACAGTCACGAAAAGTTGATTTATCACTTGAAAGATCACAAGACATGTGATCTCCCACTTGAGGGTGGGAGAATCCAGTCAGGGTCTTACACTAGACTTCATATAGCTGAGTCTCATCCACACCGGGGCAGGAGCACATGTTATGTTCCGCACTTCTTACTGTTTTTTGCTGCCACTTCATACATTATCTAACTAGCATCTCTACGCACGTGATGAGAGAAATCCCTCTAGTACTGCTTGGTCGCTCTCTTCCCATTGTGCCAGCAAAATGGAGATTTCCTGCAGGACAGCTGGGTGTCATCTTGCTTCCTCCAACGTGGTAGGAATACCCCAAAAGTCTATGTAGCCCGGTGTGGGTTCCCAGCCCAGACTGCACCCTCGTCCTTGTGTTCTCAGGTATGCCATGAAATGCTTAGACAAGAAGAGGGTGAAAATGAAGCAGGGGGAGACGCTGGCCTTGAACGAAAGGATCATGCTGTCCCTTGTCAGCACTGGGGTGAGTAGCTACACTCAGTGGCTTCTGAATTCTTGTCATTTGCTTTTGTTTGTTGCAGCTGATCCCAAAGGAGGTTGAACAAGGGTGGGTTAGGGTGTGACACAGGGAGGGTCACACTGGTGGGTGGAGCGTGAAGAGTGTCCCACAGATCCAGCATCTCCCCCAGAGCCCTTCCCTTCTCCTGGCTTCCTTCTCTGAAGAATGTAGTGCCAGATGGCAGAACTTAAGACGAGAAGAACATTTTAATGTATTTTAAAATTGCTTATATACAATGGGATGCTAGCCAGAGGAAGAAAGGTTGCCCTCTGCCCATCAGGAGCCAAGGCGGGACTTCCCCTCTGACTTGTCTGGCAATGGTGTGTTGGCAGTCATGGAAGTCTCAGCTTTGGAGCTGACTTGGGGACTGGGCACTTGATGGGTAGGAATGAAACCTTGTGTTCAGTCCCTGTACCACCACCACACTACCACCAATGCTCCCAGAAGCCACCAGGCAACTTGACCCAACTGAGACAGCTTCCCTTGTCAAAATCTATGCAGACACATGGACACCAGTAGGCTGTGGGGCAGCACTCAGGGCAAGACAGGGCAGGGCAGGGACCTGGGACCAAGGACTTAGAATGGAGCTACTCCATGGTGCAGTGTCCCTGTCATGAGTGGATGGTGTCTGATTGTCACTGTCCAGGTCATAGGTGGGTGATTTCTAATTGTCACCTCTAGCCATATGTGGGGCCCCTCTGATTGTCATCACTGGACAGGATGCACGGTCTTCTCTGCCGAAAGGATTTGAAGGCATGAAAACTTAATGGCTAATCAAAGATCCCCTTTCTGCTGGTGAGAGGGCCGTGGAGACCTAGAACAGACCCGCCCCTCCCAGTTTTTGTCTACACTGACCCAAGTTCACCTTTTGAATCATCCCTCTGGAGGAAAAGTGGCTTTCCATGGCCAGCTTTTATTGAACTGCGGTTGATAATGATGCTAGCATTTCTTTTCAGAGTCTCTAGAAGAACTGTTTGCCACTGAAACCAAGGAACTGTGTCATTTAGACAAACTGTAAAATGAGAACTGGGCTCTAAATAGTCCCTCATTATGCACCCCTGCCTTCCAACTCTGGACATTCAGGCTCATTTTAAATGAGTTATTTCAAAGCCCCATTGGTTTTCAAGAAGTCATATGGAGAATATATATAATTTGATGTTGGAAATATACAAGGCCATTTTGCTTGTAATCTTTTAAATTTTCCTATTTTTTTCCTAAATAAGGGTGTGTGGGTGGTCTTTGATCTGTCCTGAAGGGAATGAATTTGAAAATGGTGATGTTACATTGGGCCACTAACTTGAGCTAACTGAAGAGAACCCTATTCGTGTTCAGATTTTGATCTTGAGTCTGTTTTGTTAATGAGGACGCAAGTAGGTCAGCCTGGAGAGCTATAGTGAAGTGACTTGGGATTGTTAGCAGCTTGTCCTGAATGTCCTGGACACCCTTTGACACTCCTTCTGGTGTCTGCCTGGCTCCTGGATGGATGAGGCTTACAGGCAGCAGGTTCTGAGGCAGCACCTACAACTTCCAGCGTTTTCTCTGTTACTTTTTTGCTCCCTTTGGTCTGTTTCACACCATGTCAGTGATAAGTACTATGAGGCAGTGCCCAGAGCCTTCCGCCTTTTTTTGTTACTTTGTTACTGCCTTTGGTTGTTTCACACCATGTCAGTGATAAGTACTATTGGGCTTGAGCTAAAGTCATGGAAACTGTAACCACTTACCCTGGGGGAGCAACTGAGCTCCAGACTTATGTACTAGCAAGGCCTGTGTCAGGGGTCCCCGAGGTGTGGTGGGGGAGAGGCTGGCCAAGGGTGTTTGTTCAGTCTCACATTAGTTTGGTCAGATGCCCAGTGAGGCCAACTGAGTTTCTCACTGTCACCTGATGCTGTTAGGCGCCTGACCCTCCGGCCAGGACCAGAAAAGACACTGGTGGCAGGTGTGGCCAGGTCAGGTGAAGTAGCTTTGTTTTCCCAGGCATGAGCATGAAGGCAGGCAGAGATCACCATGGGTCTGTGGTCTGAGGCTGTGAGAAACAGAGCTTGCCTAGAGGATTTGAAAGACTCCAACTTGAGTGACTTGCTCATTCAGAACTTGGTGGTCAGGGCTGAGGCTGGTTAAAAAAATGTGGGTGTAGATTTGGTTGGCTGGAACTGGGTCAAGGGGAGCCTTACCTAGCACTGAGTGAAACCGCCTTATAGAGAACTATGGTGATGCTCAGAGGACCAGGAGGATGTGGGGCTTCCATCATGGCTGGCTACCCTTTTCTTTGTGGCCTTAGGCAAGGAGTTCCCTATTCAATGGGCTTGGCTTCCTGGTGTTTGAATTAAGGAAATGAGATCTGCTATTTAATTTATTTTTTTTTGGTTTTGTTTTAGAACTTCTGATTCCAAATCTAAACTCATTCATTATCTTACTAAAGACACTCTCTCTTAGAGAGACACAGCCAGCCCCTTTGCAGCTTCCTCAGGCTGTCATTAGAAGGGCACTATGTCCTAGAATCTTCCCTGTAAGGTCCCCTGGTGTCCTGGGTACAGTTCCCCACCCCTGCTGGGAAAGACCCTGGTATTACTGAGTTTTGGGTCCGCCCAATTCTCTATTCCACCAAGCTGGCTGTTCAATCACAGGGAAAGGGTTTGGGGAGCCCCACTGAGGATGAACTGTTTAGCAGAACAAGATGATGTCCTCAGAAGGTCATGGGGAGAGCTGGAGATGCATGGGTGCCTTGCTGGCTGGTTTTGTGTCAACTTTACTCAAGCTGGAGTCATCTGAGAGGAGGGAACCTCAACTGAGAAAATGCATCCAGGAGATCTGGCTGTAGGCAAGCCTAATAGAGCATTTTCTTAATTAGTGATCAATGAGGGAGGCCCAGTCTATTGTGGGTGGGGCCATCCCTGGGCTGCTGGTCCTGGGTTCTATAAGAAAGCAGGCTGAGCAAGCCATGAGGAGCAAGCCAGTAAGCAGCTCCACTCCATGGCCTCTGCATCAGCTCCTGCCTCCAGGTTCCTGCCTGTTCCTGCCTCAGTGGACTGTGATTCAGGATATGTAAGCTAAACAAACCCTCTTGGTCATGGTGTTTCATCACAGCAATAGTAGCCCTGACTAAGACAGGGTCCCAGAAGACCACTGGCTGGCAGGAGGCTAGCTCAGCGCTTCTTGTACCTGAGGGTACACAAACTTTGACGTCAGTAAATTCACCACTTCAATAGAGGACCAAAGGGGAAGCTGTTGTTCATCTCGACCCAGTTTTTTCTAGAGCTTACGGAAATAATTCAAGTTCCTACCTCACCTCTCTCTGCCTCCACAGCGCTGGGATGGCAAGCACAAGTCACCACGTCCAGTTCTTTAATGTGGGCTCTGGGGAACCAAACTCAGGCCCTCTCAGCTCTCTGCCCAGGCCATTCTTCTCCTGAACTTCCACAAGGTGGCTCGCTCTGCTCTTAGCCTCCTCTGTCTGCCTCTCTCTCCCCGAGAGCATGAGATAGCCCGTGTTGGTGTACATGGCAGTCGCTTGATGTGTAGCTGGACAGCAGGGTTGGAAAGAGGTGTGTGGTCCCAGGACCAAATTCAGTTTGAGGCCTTCTTCTAGATGGCCCATGAGCCAAGAATGGTTCTTCCGTTTCTAGATGCCTTGTAAGGGAAGGACACCGAGAGCAGAGGGCAGACACTGTGCGTGGACTGCAGAGCCTGAGCTACCGTTCAGCTCCAGAGGCTCCTGTGTCCGTAGTGCCTCGTCTCCCCGACTCTTCTGGGTGGCTTTCCTGGGTGAGCTGTGCGGCAGCTCTGGGCGTGGTGCTCCTGCACCCGAAGCACAGATGGGCCACGGTTGTCTACCTGGTGTGGGGTTGCCAGGTGATGGGGTCATTGGGTGATGTACAATGCAACCCAGGTAACAGCTCCAAACAGCTGGTCACAGCTCAGCACCAAGGTGTTGGTGCGGTGTGTGGGGCCAGGCCAGGCTTTGCCTTTGTTGTATAGATGCTCAGTTCTTCAGCACTGGCACTGCCTGTAGCATACCTGTGGCCTTTTATGTTACATGTATTGCACACAAGTGGCCATCTACATGTGTGCCCACTGGAGGGTTCCCTTCCTCAGTTACACTGTTCTGTGTTTGCGCTTAGGCTATGCTGTCTTAACTACATTTACCTTATAGGCAGTACTCTGTATGTAGCTGTGCATGTGTGTATGCATGCACCTATGTGTGTGTATGTGTGTGTATACATGTGTACACCTGTGTGTATGTGTTATACATTATCTGCACTTGTGTGTTTGTGTATACATTCTGTATATTTGTGTGCACCTATGTGGGTGCACATGTATATGTATGTGAGTGCATATATATGTATATATAACATAAAATGTGTTTGGTGGTAGCTTTTTGGAGGCAGCTTCTGTTCTTCTCACAGGCTTTCGTTCATCCACTCTAGGACTGTCCCTTCATTGTCTGCATGACCTATGCCTTCCACACACCAGACAAACTCTGCTTCATCCTGGACCTGATGAACGGTAAGCAAACCCCAGAGCTCTGCCTGGTGCTCATTGTAAGCTATTGGCATCCAGGTGTGCTGGGTTCTGAGAATCAGACTCTATTTGTAGTTTGGAGGGACTCTTTGCTCTTTGGTTTTCCATAGATTCATCTTGCAACACTGGCTGTGATTTCTCTCCCAGGCTGCCATTCTCTCCCTGGGAAGCTGGGTCCTAGAAACTTCTCACAAAATAAATACTGTCCTTGAAGTTTTACCTTCTGGACTGCAGCTGGCCTCAGTCTGTAGTTAGCTAATTTCCTGGTCTCAACTCTTCGGAATGAAATATCTCCCAAGAATATAGGCCAAAGGCAGACATGCATTGAGAAGCTGGCTTTCCAGGGCTGGTTCGTGTGGGCTCCCGCCTTGCTCTTCTGTGCCTCCGAAGTCTTCAGAACTCTGCGTTCATCTTTGAAGCCATGAGCAGCTGCCCCAAAAATGCACAGACACAAAATGTTCAGCTGGAAAGAGCTGTCACTGTGAGGATGCGGCATCGGAGCACTTGGAGTATTTTTAGGAAAAGCTGAAATAAAGATGAACCATTCAGCCATTCAGATCCCCCTTTTTTTAGTCTGCTTAAAGTTTTATTGTGTTTCGAGTGTTTGATTCGAGCTCAGATCTACTCCAAAAATAGGAAGGACAAATTTCAGTAATGAGTGGAAGAAGCCAGAGTCAACAGCACATGCCCTGTGTGTGAATGTGCGGAGGGGGCGGTGCCCCTGAGTGGCCCCTTCCCTGCCAGGGCCAGGCTGGTGGAGTCTGAGCTAGCCCACTGGAAAGAGCTTGGAACCCTTGATTTAGTGGCTAGGCACATGCACAATAAGAGAAGAGGTGTGTGAAGTCCAGGGCAGCAAAGTCAGACACATCCCTCTCTGCCCTGAAGCTACACGGCCATTTGCCGTGTGTTTGGAACTGTGTTTGGAACAACTCTGAACTTGTAGCCAGGGTGACAGTTTTATGAGGGCTCTCAGATTCACATCACCTGGATTTTGTCAGTTACACTTCACTGTTTTGACAGCTTCAAATCTCCCTCCATGGGATCAGGTTTTCCTGGTTTGGTTTTGATTTTTTTTTCTTAGCTGTGGGCAATCAAGGAGGTCACTGCCTTGGAACCCTACATAGATGGCCTCAGTGACTGGGCAGGTTTGAATAATCAGTGGTTCAGCTGGCCCATGCTTGGTGGTGTAACTGGTAGCAGAGCCACCAAGCCCTGAATGGTGGCTCCGTCTTGTCTGTGAAACACAGTCTCACCCATCATCCCCTTGGAGCTGTTTCAGTAATGAGCAACACCTTTGGCCACATCACGGAAACCAAAGACAGATGTCAAGGCAAAAAGGAAACCCATTCCCCTTTTCTCTAGCACCCTTGTTACTTAGGGCGACTCTCAGTGGACGTTCTGTGACTTGCCCTCTGCATCTCCGGTTGCAGGGGGCGACATGCACTACCACCTCTCCCAGCACGGGGTATTTTCTGAGAAGGAGATGCGCTTTTATGCCAGCGAGATCATCCTGGGCCTAGAGCACATGCACACCCGCTTCGTTGTCTACAGAGACCTGAAGGTGAGGAGGGTCTCGGTGTACCCACGGTGTCCTGGGAGCCCTTCTCTGCCCTGAGGCCCTGTGCCTTTCCTCCCTGTCCTGTCTCAGCCCTGCTAAGCTGTTCACTGTGTGACCGGCAGCAGGGGTGGTACCTGTGGCCAATCCCTGTTATCATGGCAACCTCAGTGCCTGCTAAGTTCCTGGGTGAGGAAGTTCTCACACTAGGTCCCGGAGTTACACAATGAAGGAGATTCTGGTCAGCATGTTTTGGGCATTTCCCACTTTGTATATAATAGTGGTTCATTTGACGCTCACCAAGGAAATCTTGCCCTACTGACTGGTCTCAGTTTGAGAGGGATAAAGATGAACTGTGAGTCAAGACAGAGGATGATGGAGTCTTGGTTCCTGTGAACAAGGCAGTTTGGATGGAGAAGGGTGGGTTGTTGACTGCAGTTCAGCCCCTAGAACTTCCTGGGGACACCTTGCTGGGCTGGCAAGCGATGAAACTGAACTGTGGCTCTTGCTCTGGAGGTGTGCTTGGTGCTGGGGTCTCCATGTAGGAGGGTCCGGGTAGCTGTTGAACGTGTCCATGGTGACACCATCTGTGTGTGATGCAGATAGAGGAGAGAGTAAAAGGGAGTGCCTTAGTTAGGGATTCTATTTCTGTGATAAAACACCATGACCAAAGCCATCTCAGGGAGGAAAGGGTTTATTTCAGCTCACACTTCCACATCATAGTACATCATGCAGGGAGGTCAGGACAGGAACTCAAAGCAGGGCAGGAACCTGGAGGCAGGAGCTGATGCAGAGGCCATGGAGGGTGCTGTTTACTGGCTTGCTCATCATGGCTTGCTCAGCCTGCTTTCTTATAGAACCCAGGACCACCAGCCCAGAGATGGCCCCACCCACAATGAACTGGGCCCTCCCCCATCAGTCACCAATTAAGAAAATGCCCTACAGGCTTGCCTGCAGCCTGATCTTATAAAGGCATCTTCTCAATTATGGTCCTCTCTTCTCAGATGGCTCTAGCTTGTGTCAAGTTGACAAAAACAAACAAATAAACAAAATCATCAAGGACAGAGACATATGTATGAGATGTGTAAGCATCAATGAGAGGTTAACTGTCCGGGTGGCAGTTTACCAACAGGATAAGACAACACCGAGAAAGTGTTTGCCTCTCATTTCCATTTCCTTCCGAGGTGATCTAAACACACAGTGACCTGAGACGAAATCCTGTCCCTTTCTCCTGGGTTCTGTGAGAAGCTGCTGTGTTGCTTGTTTGAGGCAGGAGCCTCATTATGTAGCCCAGGGCAGCATGGAACTTGAGACCCTCCTGTCTCAGCCTCCCAAGTGGCCGAGGGACAGACGTGCCAACCCCATCCTGCTGCTGATTGATCTAAGAAGCAAACAGGCTGTGCTTTGGTTTTGATCACATAGTTTTCTTTTTCCCAGAATACTTTTGTGAAATTGAAAGTGTTCTTTGGGTTAAAGAATTCCTCTCTTAGCTTTCATGTATGCATACAGAAGAAAAGATAATTTTTAAAATTGAACTAGAAATAACCAAATGCTGGTGGGCTTGTGGCATGCTAGCTGCTCATGAATTCTGTGAGGACCCAGATACATGCTGATAGCTCATGGAGCTGCTGCCCCGTGTCTTAATTTAAACCCTGGAATGGCTTTTACCCCTCTCTCTCTCTTTCTCTCTCTCTCTCTTTCTCTCTCTCTCTCTCTCTTTTTCTCTTTTCACTTTCTAAGCTATTTAGTAGGCAACGATGTTATTTAATTCCCATTCAAATATAATTCTAGTCACTCATGACTATTCATGTCTCAGTGTTGTAAGAGCTTGCCATTATTTTTATTTTAGGCAAAAAGTAGGTGTTTCACGGCAGAAAGATATTCCCGAGGTGACTGTAGTTGGGTGTGCTTGGGGGTGGGGTCTTTGTATCTGTGATTGCTCTGACCAAATCTAATCTGGATAGGAATGTCCCAGTCACATCAGAGTCAGGGTCAGACTCCAGTTTGGCCATTTGGTGGGGCCCTCGTTGGTGATGGCTGTTAATCAGAGTTGGCATGGTGCTCTGGGATGCTTCCAGCCCTTGGGCCAACAGTCATAGATCCCCTGCAGGATCCCTTGCTGCCGTGGCCCTTGCAGCCGCATCCTCTGAAACCTCGTGGTCCACAGATGGTCTGCAGAAGCCTGTGGCCCTGCCTTTCATTGCTAGGATGTCCATGCTGGCTACACCAAAGCTCTTGGAGTAATGGGGAGGACATACTTTCAGTTCTACGGTGGGAACCCTCCTGCCTGCCACCTGGGGTGTCATTCTCTAGTGGGGAGGGCCCGTTGTCTCTCTCACAGTCCCTTCCCACGGAGGTCAGCCGAGTGTTGCTGTGTTCATTGTCCTGCTGCCTTGATCCTGAGGACACAGAGTTCCCAGTGAAGAGGTCATGTCAGCCATGATGAAATGATGATGGAGGGGTGCACTCTGCGGAGGGCGTGTGACGCTCCGGTGACCTCTGGGGGACTCTTGAACTTTTTCTTTCAGCCTGCAAACATCCTCCTGGATGAGCATGGGCATGTGAGGATATCTGATCTTGGCCTCGCCTGCGATTTCTCCAAAAAGAAGCCTCACGCCAGCGTGTGAGTAGCACGTCCGCATTTCCAGACCATGGCACCTGTGTTCAGGCAACACCACCTGGCCTCTGGTGCCCCTCATTGGCTGGGATTTTTCTCTGTCGTATTGAGTGTCAAGGTAGTGGGAGTGGAGCTCTAGAGCAGGGTGCTTCCTGTCACTGTTTGTGGGGACAGACATGGCTCCTGGGGACCTGAGCCCGCTTGGGGAATCAGCTAGTTCATAGGAAGGACTCTGGTTCTGCCGAAGCCAAGGTCATGCTTGCCGCTTGTGAAATTCCAAGCAAGTCAGCTCACCCTCTCTGGCCTTTAGTCTCTTCTTCTGTAAGATCAAGCTAATAAGTCCCTTTACCAGAGTATGTGACAGAGTCCAAGCCCTGGAGAGGCGTGTGATGGCTGCCCGGAATGCCCCCAGGGAGAGCTCAGGGCCGACTTCCCATCTCCATCTCCTGCACTTCTGAGAAATCAGGAAGTTCTGGGAGCCAGCCACCTACTTACAGTTCAGGGTTTAATGCAGGTCATGCCCTCAGACTTAGGAGGTGAACTGGTTGTCACAGGGAAGTGACTCCTGAGGCCATGGTCCTTAGCCATCTCTGATGGCTCAGAACTGCATTTAGTGGTGACAGTGCTAACTGCAGGTGACCTGGCCTGTGGCCACCTCTAGGTAAAAGCTTTGCCCCTACTCTGAAGCAGCAGTGAGAAGAGTGTGTGCCAGTGAGCCACACGCCAAACCCCACTTTGCCTTCTAGAATATTTCCTTCTGGGCCTGTGAAAGACTCATGAGATATAGCTGTTGCCACCCTGCTAGGCCACCTGAGTTCAACCCCTGGGACCCACGTGATGGGAGGGAGGAGAGAACTGACTCCCATAAGTTGTCCTGTGTCTTCCACACACAAGCCATGGCCTGAGTATGACCCCTACACACATGCACACACAGACACTACATGAATATTGGAATTTCTCATTCTTAGTACCGAATCTTTTACAGTTACATTTAACTCTTCCCCTGAGCAAGTTTTCTCCCTTATGAATGGTCCTGGAGATAAGTACTTGAGTTTCATTCTATATGTCTTTGTGGAAGGGGTGGATTTGCAGTGCTCTGTGAGGGCCTGCGTTAAATCAGAGCTGCCTTTGAAAGCCCTGGTTGTGCGTTGGTACCGTTGATCGTAAACTGCAATTTCTAAAGTAGATTGCTCTTTGCCCGGAAGCTGGGACAAGACTGAGAGCATCAAGGTTCTGTCGGAGCGCCTACCTGCACTCCTCCTGGGAGGTTGCTTGGCCATTTTCAAGAGATGCTTTTGAATTTTTAATGCCACCCGTCTTCAGCATGCTCATGTCTTCAGTTTACTGTGGTTATAACTAAGCGTGAGTAGGAGAGTTCATAAGAATTCATCTTCCCAGAATCTCAGCTCTGTGGTGTGGCATCGTTTATCCCACTAGCCTGGCCGGCTTGGTCCAGATGGAGGGCTACCGTGCCTGCCTTGGGAAGAACTGTATTCTGAACAGTGACTTAGCTTCCTTCTTTCTATGATAAGATACCCCCACAATAGGGACTTAAGAGAAGAAGATCCTATTTGGTTTGTAATTCCAGGTGATGATGCAGCATGGCAGGGACATCCCAGCTGTGGGACCTGAGGAAGCTGGGCAAATCACATCCAGTCAGGGGAACAGCCTGTGCTCAGCTAACTTTGTCCTTTCTATGCAGCCCCAGACCCAAACCTAGGGGATGGTGCCGCCCACTTGTAGTGTAGGCTTTCCCACCTCAGTTAACCCAATCATAGGCACAGGAGTACTCAGGGGAAATAATCCCTCCCAAGGGACCCAAACCTAGGGAACAGTGCTGCCCACTTGTAGTGTAGGCTTTCCCACCCCAGTTAACCCAATCATAGGCACAGGCATGCCCAGAAGTGAGTAATCCCTCCCAAGTGTGCCTAGAGGATGGCCTCCCAGTTGCTCCAGATCCGTATGTACAGTTGACACTGGCTGTCTCAAACAGCATTTTCAAAAGAGATTGGGCTGAGAAGTTGAACTGGCTCCTTGTTTAACTGTTTGCACCACTTTATGCAGATGACAAATGCACAGGGATAGGCAATGGTGGCCCTGGGACGCTCCGGTGGACTCCAGAGAACACCTGCAGAGTCCATCTATGTCAGCTTGTTGGATTCCTCCTGGACAGTGTCCCTCCACTCCCAAACTGTGGCTCAGTCATGGGTAGCACCCAACAGTAACTTCAAAGGGCTTCCAGGCTAGGCTGAAACTCAACTATCTCAGAAAGCGTTCTGGAAGCCCTGGAAGAGGTCTCCTCTGTTCGTGGCATGGCTCTCTTGACCTTATACTGGCACCTCATGGAAAGCTCGGCCCACTGCTACCTGCCAGGCCCCCCCATCATGTATTCTGCAGCTCCTTCCAGCCTCCCCCATGGGCTCCAGGGATCACCCATGATCCTCACTGACCAAGAGTTTCTGAGTAAAACCTCAGTGTGCATAAGCAAGTCAGCATCAACTCACCCTAAGGAAGGCGTGATTTGAACCCTGCCTCCTGCCCTATGTGGGTTCAGTTCACCTCTTGGGTCTTGTGATGCTGAGCTGTGGTCACACCTGCTCTCCCCTCAGCACCCTTCACGCCCTCATCGACAGAGGCCAGTGAGAGACAGAGGGGCTGTCGAGCTGTAGACAAGGGTTTTCCCAAGGCTCTTTTTTTTTTTTTATGGCGTCATAGAAGATTCCCTGGGTCACTCAGACTCATCTTGGGGCACTGTGTATGCACTCCTGGGTCTTCATAGATACCCACCAGATCAGTTGAGTCAACCGTGGCAGTCAGTAGGGTAACAGATGTCTCAGTCAAATTGCCCTCATCCTTCTTCCCTTCCTGTGTGAACTCAGTGGTGTGACTTCATGTCGCCTTCTGCAGGGCGCTCAGTGTGAGGCATGACGCTTGTGCTCAGGCCATGGTGCATGCGCTCTTCTCTGCACTCAGTCACCGCCCTCCCAACATGGGGCATCCTCCTTATTCCAGAGTGAGCACGTGCCTGTGACCATCTTCCTTCCCTTCCCAGGGGCACCCATGGGTACATGGCTCCCGAGGTGTTGCAGAAGGGGACATCGTATGACAGCAGCGCTGACTGGTTCTCCTTGGGTTGTATGCTCTTCAAGCTCCTGCGGGGGTGAGTGGAACTCAGATGTCCCGTCCTGGGGGTGCTTGGGTCAAATGGAGCTTCCAGGGGCAGAGGCCCTGGGTTCTATCCCCAGCATGGGGATGGGGAGAATACTTGTAAGTCATGACCCTGATGTCATGTCAGACCACACTGTGGCCTTTAAGACACACTGCTGCAAGTGACGGCCGTGGTGGCTCCTCCTGTGGTGGGAGCTTCTGTCCTGAGGGCTCAGAGATGAAAGCTTCATATTTTTGTCCCAAGGACCTTAAACTAGGACTAAGGTAAAATGAGACAAAACATAGCAAACCAAGAGGGCTTTGGAGTGTTTCCGCAGTAGGCCATGTTCTGGGACTAGGCAAAAGTGTTAAAATGTGGATTATTGGAGAATGTGGTATCTCTCTCCACCCCCACCACAAATGACTTCTCATGATTCCTGCACACCAAGCACCTGGAGGATTCTGGAATGTGAGTCATGGGGAGCCAAAGTAACCTCAGCTGAGAGGCTGCCATTTCTCTGAGAGCCTGCCAGTATGGTCCCTCTGAAGCTGACCATTCTGCTTGACCACATTCGAAGCTACAGAGATGATGAGTTGGGCAGCAGGGGAGTGCGCCCCAAGAGTGTTCTCATCTATGGCTCTCTAGATGTTTCAGCTGGAAGCTTGATTCTAGTAGAATCCAAGTGTATTCTTCATTCTCATTGCAAAGGTCTAAGAAAGATCCTTGTCCCCACGTCCTGTCCAGATTTCCCTCTTAATCAGTTGCCCCGTAGCCTGCACCACAGCCTGCTGAGGGTTCACTGTGCCCCTGGGAAAACTCATATATTCTGTTTAGTGCATTTGTAGAGCCGTTGAACTCCACAGTCCCCCAAACTTGGCTCCAAGTCCAACTCACTACATCCTTGATGCTTCTGTAATCCAATTCTGCTGTGCCCATTGTATTCCCCGGGGACCTCAAATCGTATTACCGCTAAGAAAGTCAGGTCTGTTATTCAGTAATTGTATTACCAGTACCATGTTGGTGGAGCCCAGGCGCCCTTCGTTCCTGTTGGCAGACTAGCTTGACCTGATTAGAGCTTATGCAGAGCGAGCCAGAGGAAGCCATTACTGAGGGAGACCCCCTTCTGTGCCCTCTGCCATCATTGCAAATTCAGGGAGACACCCAGGAAGCTCCTCCAGTCCCTGGAGACAACAGCCAAACTGTCTGAAACGGGAGTCATCGATCAGGGACCCTAGGGAAGCAGTGCAAGCCTGCGGAAGGCTAGGGTTTGCTTCTTCATTGCCATTCCTATCTAGCTGTTGGTAAAACAGTCCTGCTCATAGCCTGCAGAGGGTCTGCAGCCACATGACGTTGTGTTTGAAGAATCGGGAGGGGCTTGTCTAATTATCACTTCAGTCCTATCGCAACTGCGATTCGCCCCTTGCGGAGTGAGTTTAGTTTTACACAGCTGCAGTTCAGTCGCTCCTGGATCCTTCTGAGTGGGAAACTAGTAAGACCTGAAGGCCCCTGAGGATGGTGCCAGGGACAGAGAGGGGGGGGTGTGAGAGAGATGGAAGCCAGAGAGTGGGCACAGGTCAGGTGACCAAAATGCCTGACTGCAGCCCTTCAAAAGGAGGTCTTGTGGAAACGGTGCTTCAGGGAGGAGAAGGATTAGCCTGGTGAGATGACAGCAGGGAAAGACACCTGTCACCAAGCCTGAGGACCCAAGTTCAATCCTGGGGACCAGCATGGTGGAAGGAGAAAAACCAACTCCTGAAAGTTGTCTTCTGACCTCCACACCTCTCCCTACTCGCATAGGCATGCATGTGCTAGCACGTACACACACACACACACACACACACACACACACACACACACACACGAGACAGAGAGAGAAGGGACACATCACCTAAGAATCTGTTATATGTACCACCATGTAGGCCTCTAGTTTCCCAAAGGAGTGTTACACCCTCTCCTGGTTGCTGTCTGCTGACTGCCTGAGCCCAGGGAGAGGACTCTTGGCCTGTGTGACAAATGGGCTTTGATGCCTCCTTCCCACTGAGATTCAGCCCTCAGACCTCCCCCCCACACCCCTGTGCTCACTCAAAGCCCTTCCAGGGAGTGGTGTGGAACTATAAGCAAAGAACAGGAAATGAGTTCCAACCCCGGTGATTCGAGCTTGATAAACATTTATTGAGTACTTAAGGCACAGGAGGGCCATTGCCTGATGCAGAGGAGGAGTCGGGCTGTGGGAGGAGGGGAGAAGGAAGGCAAGAGACTACGGGGAGGCTCCTCAGAGGACTGAGTGCTGGGAAGCCCAGAAATGGAGGACCCACTTCGGGCTTGCCTGAGTGGGGTGACTGTGTGGGAGATGGGGCCCTTGGGATGGGGAAGACGCTGTGGGAATGGGTGCAGCTTGCTATTGGGGCCCAGTGAGTAGTAACCAGTGTCTCAGATAAGATGCGTTGGAGGAAGCAACGGAGACCTGGGAGGGCCTCTGCGTGTGCTGTGGCACGTGGCCTTGTTTCCTGGTGTTGGGTGAGGGTTTTTAACCTGCAGTAAGATGGTTCCAGTGGCGACCTGTAGTGTCGGAGAGAAAGAGACATGCCTGAGCTGCAGCTGGAGGGTTTGTGAGGGACACGACGGTACTGTAGAGTCAGCTAGACGGTGTGAGGACATCCCGCGGCCGGGATATGGAAGGGCGGTGTTTCTCTCTTTCGAGGGAGGGCGCAGTCAGCAGTGCTTCAGGAGGAACCAAGGTCACATTTCATGAGTGAGGCCCCAAGGCGGTCTTCAGAAGGAGGAACTAAGACTGGAGCGGTGGCTCAGGGTGACAGCCACTCTCTGCTCCTCAGAGGACCCAGGCTTGATTCCCAGCACACACGCTGCAGCTCACAGCCACCTGTAACTCCACTTCCAGGGACTCCAGCTCCTGTCCCTGGCCTCTGCTGGCACCGCAGGCACATGGTTCACTGATACATGCAGGCAGACACCCATGCACTTAAAATACAAATAAGGGGATTTTTTTTAATTAAAGGAGGAGGAACTAGGCTGGAAACCATCCTTCCCCAGGCTGTGAATGACAGTAAATGCCACTCATGAAGCTGCACCTGGGGAGACTCAGCATTGCTTTGTGTCTTGTAGATGTGGCCATACGCGGTTTAGAGGCCCCTGAAGCTGCTGTCATTGGCCCTGAGAAGAGAAGGTGGGTGGAGCAGGACACCGAGGGGGCATGCTGCATTCCTGAGGGTAGCCTGCTCCCTTCCCATCCCAGGGCAGCTGCAGGCAGACAACCAGCAACAGTTGACTGCAGTCTCCAGAGACACTCAGCACTCCCTGGCAGCAGTTTCGATTGTCATAGCTTAGGATGCATGGGCACTACTCAGGTATCCAAGTGCATAGGAGATTCCCTGTCCCCTGAAGAAGTGTGGGAATCAAGAACTCTCCCTCTAGGGGAGGTCCCTCCCCCACAAATGTCTTCCATCAGGATAGAGCCTGTACAGAGGGGCTATTGACATTATCCCTCGGGAGAAAAGGGACCATTATAGATATTTCACAGTTATTGGCTCAAACTCCAAAGGCATATTTGATGTGACATACAATCTTTCTTGTGTTCTAAAATAAGTCGTGAGCGTGCTTAATCTCGTGTCATCATATTGGTTTGGGCTCAGTATCAACCCTATGGATTTGAAGTGTCTGGTGTAGGAGTGTGTGGGCTTCCTCAGTTTCCTGGCAGGTGCAGGGGGTGTGCTCAGCCTTATACTATCTTAATGAAGAGTGCCATGCTTTCGCTCAGGATGTGGGCTCTCTGTAGTCAAAAGCCATCCAGAGCCGGGGAGCATGTTCCCTGCACTCCGAGCTGATGACAGCTGGGAGCTGGGTACCTATTTACAGAGCCTGCATCAGGGGACAGCTGCCATCACATGGTCTGTGAGTGCCACTTGTCCTGCTCAAAATGGAGACGTTACTATCTGAGGCTTTTTCTTTAACATTTTCCAAAATAGAAAGCCAAGTCCCAGACTTGGTTGACAAAGAGTAATCAAGACTCCATTTGGCAGCTCGTGTGCCTGGAGCTGAACACTCAAGTGTCCCTGACGAGACAGGCTAGGGTTGAAGAGCTGGGAAGCAGCTTCCCATGATGCCTTGCTGAGTCATATATGGTTCCACTGAACTTGTAAAGGGGGTCTATGGCCCTAGGGATGGATGAAGGGTTGTTGTAGGGAAGGCTGGGGGGGGGGGGACTCTCTCCCACTGTTTTGTGCTACTGAAACGGAATCACTCCTCGCCCCTCCCCCAGTGGTTTATAATAGGCAGAATTTCTTTGGGCAGCTGGTCCTGGAAGGCAGGAGTTCAGTTAGCAGCTTGAGTGACTTCCTATGGTGCCCTTACAGGACGTGGGCAAGGGGACTCTGAGAGAGCAGGAGATGGGAGCAAGGGGCCCCCTAGAAGCTAGACTCCCCTTTCTGACTGGCCCCTGTGATAACAGCCTTAATGCCTTCCTGGGGTTAGAGCCTCCTCACCTCACCTTTCAAAGGCCCCACCCCCACACACCACAGTTACAGTTCAGCAGGACCTTGGGGACTGACTGACCTTCACGATGTGCCGGAGGTCAAGGACTGAACGGGGTCCCTGGTTTTTACATTCACGCTCCTGTGCATACACTCCAATGGCCTCTCCAACCCGTTAAGCCTTGAGAAACAGGGCAGGGCGGAGGCATCAGGGTGGCAAGCGGAGAGACTGGCACTGACTTGGCATCCGTCTGCCTGTACCAAATATGCTGATATCCTCTGGGTGCGTACAAAGAGGGCTGTCAGAGAAGAACAGTGACACGAGGCACAGTGTCATCTGTAGCAAGCAGACACTGTCTTCCATGCTTTGGGTTTTTATTATTTCATGTGTTTATTTGACGGTGTCTCATGTAGACCACGCTTGTCTGGAATTCTTGCATAGCTGAGGATGGCTTTGAACCCTGGATCCTCTGCTCTCCCACCTCCCTTGCTGGTGCACCACCATGCCTGAACTTCTGATTCCTCTTTGAGCACAGTAACCACACATTCCTTCTTGGAAATGAGCTGAAAAGAATATTTCCAATCAAATCTATTTAAAGGTTGTTTCATACCCTTGGTTAGTACCAATTTGCCTTGTTTGAATTTTTGGTTCAGATTAGTGTTTTTAGATGGCAGTTGATTGCCTTGGTCATTCACCATGATGCTGGGGCACCCTCTCTTGTACAGAGGGAGGAGGAAGGAGTTGAGACTAAAACACTTCCCTGAAGCAGGAAGGGGCGGCCCAGGACAGGTGGGATTGGAACTCACTCCTTCAGAGTTGCCTTGATCACAGGCTCCAAGCACCTCTGCAACCGGCAGAGTTGGCCTTCGAATGTTTTCCAGAGTGTCTTGCTTCAGCTTATGCCTTACATACCTTATAAACAGGCTTGGTCAGCAGAGACATGCCTCTCTGTGGGGAAGCCCTAGTCCTAGCTAGCCCTTCCTCAATTTCAAATACATCCCTAGGCCAGGGGTCCTAGTTTGCATATTCATAATACCACTTCTCAGTAAGGTTTCCTGTGAAAGCTAGCTCACCCTAGAAATCCCAGCACCCTAGAAACTAAGGTGGGAGGATGGAAGTGAGTTTGAGGACAGCCTGGGCTATATCGTGAGTTCAGGGCCAGCCTGGACTATATCGTGAGTTCAGGGCCAGTCTGGGCTACATAGACCCTCCCACCCTATCTGTGTGTGCATGTGTGTGTTATCCCATGCAGCACTACTGGATGTTTATGTAAAATTTCACATGAACATATCACAGACACTTGCTGACCCATGCTCACAACTGCTAGGCTACGGAAGCAGCCGAGGCATTCCCCAGCGGAGGCATGGATGGAGACAATGCGGAATTATTTGCAGCCATAAAGGAAAATGAAGTTAAGCTGTTCATAGTAAAACGGCTGCTCTGGAGCCAATCATACAAAGCAAACCCAGTCAGCCCCAGAAAGACAAATAATCACGTGTGTCCTGTCAACTTGTGGTCCCAGACTTTAGAGAGACGCGAAATCATATGTGTGGGTTATAGGAGAGTATGGACACTGTACAGCAGAGGAGAGAAAAGAGGAGAGCTTGGGGAGAGAAGGGGAGGCAGGGAGAGAGAGAAAGGGGAGAAGGCGCTAACATGGTATATGTGGCTGAAAATGGCCTGGTGTGACTCTATGAAAATAATGGTCTGGAAAGTGAGAAGAAGAAATATATAAAATGAATGAATAACACAGCAAAGAGGGATCCTCATCATTTACCAAGCGTGACTGGGCTCTGATCCTTTACAGCTGACCACAGTATTCACACCTACTGTCTGCTTCCACCGTCTAGATGTAGATGTGGATACTGAAGGTTTGTGTGAGCAGCCAGGTCACATGGAGCCCAGCTTTCCTGATTCATCCTGGGTAAAGCTAGTGCAATCCTTGTCATCAAGACTGCGTCAGGGTGTGCACGCTGGCTTCTAGGCTAATGCACACACCGAGGGGACTCACCGGTGCAGCACAGGCCATCGAGCTATTTTAGGAGCTGGACTGCAGAAGTTTTCATTGTAACTACTGCAGCCATCACACCTTCCCGAGCATTTCTGCCCGATGCCTGTGTGCTGCTGGCGACATCTAACTGGAGAAGCCTGTATTACTGTCATAAGTCACTGCAGAGAAGATCAAGTGAGATGTGTCTGGCTCCTCCAGGATCCGGTCTATTCTGTGGCTAAGTTTTGTTTCCAGAAATGGCGAATGTTTACGATCTTTAAACTTCTGTGTATTATGTTTTACCCAAACGTTAGTCAGTGCCTGTACTGAGCTAGCCAATGCTGTATTTTAATAGAACTTTCCTTTATATCTGCAGCCACAGCCCCTTCAGACAGCATAAAACCAAAGACAAGCACGAGATAGACCGCATGACCCTGACGGTGGTAAGAGGGCTAAGGATGGGCCCCATGGCACACATGCACCCATGCCCATTGGACAACTGTACATGTTTGATCTATAGATATGGATATGAGCCACCATGAGTACAGATCAAAGCCACAAAAGATTATATGTAACATATATAAAATATTATAAATATAAGACATTAAAATGTGCATAGCTGAAATGAATACATGAAGTCAAAAACATTCCTAGGGGAAATTTTGAAGGGAAAGAAAGAAGACTCAAAACAGAACTCCAGGGCAAATGGTGAGATTCGCAAATGAGCAGAATAAGAAAGATATGGCAAACGGGGAGCAGATGTGGCCTTCAGATAAGTGGGGAGAGGATCCCTTGTTGCAGAGGTGAGGGCCACTGGCATTCCAGGTCTTCCAACCTGCTGAAGGATTCCAAAACAATCATTTTAGGTTCAATGTTAACCTGTTATGAAGTCAGTTTTAGATCTTCACTTACCCAAGAAGCAGCCTTGACCTCTGGTAGGGTGTGAGGACACCACCTTAGGATGGGTCTTCGAAATCTGTCTCTTCTCTCCTCAGAACGTGCAGCTTCCTGATGCCTTCTCCCCTGAGCTGAGGTCCCTCTTGGAGGGTTTGCTCCAGCGGGACGTGAGTCAGCGGCTGGGCTGCTGCGGAGGCGGGTAGGCCATCTTTCAGGGTCTCCTCTCCAAAGAAAAGGCTGGTCTGGCCATCCAAGCCCTCAGCATCTGCTGGGCAGGGTCACACGGGGATGGAGTCACACGGGGTGGAGTCACATGGGGGGGTGGAGTCACACAGGGTCGGGTAACTCGGGGTGAAGTCACATGGGGTGTGATCATACAGGGCGTGGTCACACTGGGGCCATACTGGGTGGGGCCACACAGGGGTGAGGTCACACTGGGCATTTACTGTCCATACTGTCACCCTTACAATACCAGACAGAAATGTGCCAGTTGTGTGGCCCTGAGATTGATCAGTGTCTTTCTTGCTTATTCTTTAACTTTTGTATACTGGGTCAGGTCCTTCCCCAGAGCTTCCCGATTGGGCTAGTGTAGCTAGCACAGGGCATCCCCTCTCTGCCTCTTGCTACCATGCCAGTCCAACATTTACATGGGAGCCAGGGGTCCAAACTCGGGTTCTCGTGGCTATAAGGCAAGCTCTTTACCCCCTGATCCATTTCCCAGCCGGCAATTGGTTTCTTAAGGAGCAGGAATGTTCCCTGTGGGTTCTTACTGGGGAGGAGACAGTTCAGCACAGAACCTGCCACATTTTCCATCTGACCTCTGCGGGACTCTCTCTCTCTTCCCCCCTTCCCCAGGGCACAAGAGGTGAAGGAACACATCTTCTTCAAGGGCATCGACTGGCAGCATGTGTACTTGCGGAAGGTATCCCTCTGGGCCCTCTGAGCTCTCTTTGTCTGTCTCTCTGCTGCTGGCTTCCTGACTCTGTCCCTCCATGGTCCCTACCCCAGCCTGTGGTGTCTAATGTTCTACCTAGACTACATGCGATGGTCATGTAGAGGACTCCCACTGGGGAGGCTCATCTACCTCATTTTCCTCACAGAAGCCACACAGGCCTGATTTTGCATCTGTGGTTCAACCAACCAATGATAGAAAACATGCAGGAAAGAAACAAAAAACATAAAACCACTGGTGTACTGAGCAAACGTTGACTCCTGGTGTCAAAGCGACACAGACTGACCACCATCTGCAGAGCATTTAAGCTGTCACCTCAAGATTAAAGCCTACAGAGGATGTAAACAGGTTCTGCACAAAACCCTTGCTGTTGTTTATATGAGAGACCTGCTCCTCGGTGGACCTTGTAGCCAAGCAATGGCCTGGAAAGGTCCTCTGCGGGTGCTGAGGGGCAACTGTATAAAAATTTTGGCTGTATCATCTCAACAAATCAATAGAAGGCACAGTGACAAGGCATAGTGCAGCAGCCATCCGGCTAATTGAGACGTGTGTCGACTCAGACTCCAGTATACAGGGAACAACTGACTCGAACGTGGATGTTTTCCAGCCCCCATGCCTCCCTTTCCTAGTTTTTAAATTTTTTTAAACTTTTGTTTTATGCTAGAGCCAGAACCTTTCCCATGGAGCTACACACTACCCCTTTTCCTTATTTTAAGCTTTACTGTATTCTCTTTGGTACACCCCAGTTGAATTTCTTTTTAAACGTGTTTGTGTGTGAAGCCTGGCTGCAGCATGGTAGCAGTTTCCATAGGGAGGAGGGACAGCCTGCCCAGACAGCCAGGCTCAGATCACCGGGGAAGCCAGCACTCATCAGGGTTTGCAGCGTGAGGCTCTGGGTGGGTCTCTGTCTCTGGACACACGCTTTCTGAAGGCTGGGCTGTGTTCTTTTTATAGAGTGTTATCTTGGGCTGGGGGCACACAGGGCAGCTGATAACTGGGCCCTACCTACTTGTTGGATCTTCTAGTACCCACCACCCCTAATCCCTCCCCGGGGGAGAGGTCAACGCTGCAGATGCTTTTGATATCGGTTCGTTTGATGAAGAGGACACCAAAGGCATTAAGGTACGCACACTTCCGGGTGTGGGATTTCTGCTAAGATTTGCTGTGTGTGGAGGGGGCTGGGGAGCAACTGGAGCTCTTGTACATTGCTAGATGAACACCGTATCACCGAGCTACACCCTCATCACCTGTACTCTCTGCAGCCCAGCAGGCCTTGAACTCAAGGTCCTCCTCAGCCTCCTGATGCTGAGATAACAGGCCACCCCACCCTTCCTGGCTTGAAGAGAGGAGAGCCCATTACACTTGCTGATAGTTTTAGTATTAAGCGCTTAGATTCCCCCCCCAACTCCTCCACCCCCGCACCAGCACCGCTGATCATTTCACTTTGATGAATGGCACAGTGCTCACATTGTTAATAATGTGTGGTATTTGCGGATGAACTCCAGCTTACATCTGAGGTAGGAGTGACAACTGATTCAAACACATTCCACTCAGAGCAGAAGAATCCATGATTTTCACACTTCTAAGCCTAGGGCTCTGGTTCTCAACCTGTGTGGCTCGACCCCTTTGGGAGTAAAATGACCCTTTCACAGGGTTTCCAAAAGACCATCTGCGTATCAAATATTTACATGACAATTCATAACAGCAGCAAAATTACAGTTATGAAGTAGCAACGGAATGATGTTATGTTTGGGGGTCACCAGGACATGAGGAACTGTCTTAAAGGGTCGCAGCACTAGGAAGGTTGAGAACCACTGGTCTGCATGTGTCAGGAGGGAACTTGCAGACAGCACAAATCTCTTTGCATGTGTCAATCAAGGGTGAACTGACCATGGTCTTAGCATCCTCTGCATTTTTCAGACTTTGGTGCGTGACTCTGTTTTTCCAAGTGGAGACAAGACATACTCACAGGGAGTGAGTCATGAGGAAAATTACCGTCTTTAAACTGCTAAGTCAGCGGGTCCCCGCTCGTGTACCAGCCTGTCATATGCCCCTGACTCTGGTGGCTAACCCCAACCCTGGCTCTTCTCTGCTGCTCCAGTTTCCCCCATAAAGGCAGCTGCTCACTTTCTTACCTAAGAGCTCCGCTCCAGCCACAGGCCATGCAGGGTTCTGTATGCCAACCCACACTGCTGCCTGGAGAGAGCATGGGCAGGTTCTGTGCCCGAGTCAGCTGTCACAGGGACACTCGGGTCAGGAGTGTTGGGGACAGAGTGAAGGCAGAGGCTGGAGGAAGATGGGGCAGGGACAGGAGGCAGCTGTGAGCAGGAGTAACTGGGCAGAGCTGGAGTCTCTGGGTTCGAGCTATAGCAAAGTCACCATCTCTCCTGGATTCCCAGGGACACCTGCCTCAGAGGGTGGGACAGAGATGTACGAGTAAAAGAAAAGTGCTGTTGTCAAGTGCACGCCCTGTTCCGCAGCCCTCAGAGGCTGGGGTGCCCCGACTCCACGCCACTTACATATAAACGTCCATCCAGTCATGGTGGCAGGTAGACTGGGAGTTTGTCAGATGCTGGCTGACCCCGCCTACGGCAAGCTTTCCCACTCCTTCAGATCATTTGAGGGAGGTGGGTCAGCCACCCTGGCTTTTTCCCTCTATCAGAGTCCGAACACTATGTAGATCCTAGTGTTTTATAAACACAGTGCCCACGGCTGAAAGTCTACTTGGCTGTAAGAGTCTCTATCTCTAAATAAAATCAGTGCGAGGGGCTGTGGGTTGGGGGGCACACAGTCAAGAGTTTGCTGCACATGAGCTCCTGAGTTCAGAGTCTTAGCACATGAGTAAAAACACTCATAGTCCAGTACTGGGAAGTGAAGAGGAGCAGGGACAAGAGGAAGCCTGGTCTTGTCAGTCAGTAAGCTCCAGGCTTGATGAGAGGGACTGTTTCCTCACATATAAATATATAAACATGATGTGACAGAGAAAGGCACTAATAACAACCTCTGGCCTATACACACACACACATACACACAACACACACACTACACACACAACACATACACTACACAGAACACACACTACACACACAACACACACACTACACACACACTACACACACTACTCACACTACACACACACTCAGCTACATACATGCATCCTCATACACATGTCCACACACAGGAACACATATACCACATACACATGCACGCAAACACAATTAAAAAAGTCAACATACACTCATTTTTCATTGTCAAAAATACCCTAGTGTTATTGAAGATCAGGCTCAGGCTGCCTGGCCTGGGGCCAAGGTGAAGCCTTCCCTGGTGTGGCCGTGGAGGGCACTAGAGCGAGCACCCCCTTTTTCCCTACATGCCCAGCTGTTGGACTGCGATCAAGACCTCTATAAGAACTTCCCACTGGTGATCTCCGAGCGCTGGCAGCAGGAAGTGGTGGAGACCATCTACGACGCCGTCAATGCCGATACGGATAAAATTGAGGCCAGGAAGAGGGCTAAAAATAAGCAACTTGGTCAGGAGGAAGGTAAAAGGCTGTGACATCAAGTGCTCCCGGGCATAGGAAAGAGCATGCCAGACTTGGGTGGTATGTGGACTGGAAGGGCTGAGCCGAGTTTCTCCAAGTCTCCAGCAGATGGAAGTACACCCTGAGGGAGGCAGTGCTATCTGAGTTCTGGGGTCTCCCTGCCCCTGGAAGTTTGTGGGGCAGCCTCAAATTTTTAGTCCTTGGAGATGGAGCATTGCAGAGCCTGGAACAGGCCCAGTGAGATTCCCGATGTCTCCGAGACAGAAATGCACAGTGCAGGCTCCCGTGTCAGGGACAAAGGCACTAAGTAACGTGTGTTTTAACTGCCTGGAAATGCAAGCCCATATCAGAAGGGCAGCTCTGTGGGTCCTACCCTCCACCCCCCTATCTTTTGCTTTTTCTCCATCTCAGGTGCATGACATGTGGGTCTCACCCTTTCCAGAGTGGTCTGACCGTCTCCAGATTGTACATTCCCAAGGACAGGCAGATTTTTAATCTCTTTTAGTGTTGTTCTTCAGCGGACCCACCAAACACAGACCCATGCCTAGCCCTCCTCCCCGTGGCATCATAGGTAGATTGATGGATGAGTGAGTGATTTTTAACATGCTTTCCAAAGCTTTTACTGGGTGTTGCAAAATACCTCCACCTTAGAGACTCAGTCAGTGTGAGTCTGAATTGCTTCACTCCGCTGTCTTCGTGGGCAGTGAGCTGAGGAAGAGCCCACTGTAACTGCCACCCGGCTTCAGAATCATTCACAGGACAGAAGTAGATTGAGGGACAGTTCCCTCCAGTGGCAATGGGACTTTGGAGCCTGTCCTGGAACTCACTCCTGCAGACCAGGCTGGTCTTGAACAGAGATCCACCTGCCTCTGCCTCCCAAGTGCTGGGACTAAAGGCGTGTGCCACCAGCACTGAGCAAATAGTCTTATTCAGTAGTTTGGGAACAAAATTTTGCCCATTCAGAGTTGACGGTCAGTGCTGCAGGTTCAAATGCTGAGAAAGAAGGATTGTACACAGCCTGGAACCTTCAGAGCTCCACATGTCCCAGTCCCGTGTCCAAAGCTGGGGTCATGGTCTTTAAATTGAGTTGATTTTGTAGAGACTTGTGCCCCCCTCTCCAGCCCTAGAGCGAGTGTCATTAGTGGTGTTGGCTCAGGACCTGAGTGACACTGTGTCTCTACCTTCAGATTATGCCCTGGGGAAGGATTGCATCATGCACGGGTTCATGCTGAAGTTGGGGAACCCCTTCCTCACGCAGTGGCAGAGGCGCTACTTCTACCTCTTCCCCAACAGACTAGAGTGGAGAGGAGAGGGTGACTCACGGGTGAGTTCTGGGGGTGGGGGCCCCGTGCAGCTCTGGGGCTCAGCAGCTCCCACACACTGCCTCCTACCTGTGTCTCTGTGTCAAAGAAACAAGGGTTGCTGTGGTCTAACTTTTAAGTGTCCATGTCAAGTCCCTTCCTGGAATGAGATGCTGGTGTCATTTGAAAGATGGAGTCCCAAGTCCAGCAGCCTCAGGGAGCTCAGTGGAGGCTGGAGAGGGGAATGGTGGGATGGGAGAAGAGCAGAGCAGGAAAGGAGATCCCAACTCCTTGCTCTCAGGACTTAGGGTACTCCAAGGTGCCTCTCTGGGCCTCAGCTTCCACATCTGCGAAGTGGGAGACACAGAAATGCTCACAGCTCCCATGATTAGGGCGCTTATCTGAGGCCAGGTGCCATAAACAAAACTCAAATGGTTTGGTGGCTTCTAGGGTCCAGCCCTGGATTTACTGAGAGGAATTTAGGGCAGCCAAGGGTACAGTCAGCCTATGGTGGGAGAGAAGGGCTATTCAACCAGGGCTGTCTGCAGTCTGATGGAAATCTAGATGAATCTTACAGTCTCTCAGACCCTTTCTCAAGCTAGTGTTAGCAAAGGGACAAGACAGGCTGCTTTTGTTAAACTCCCAGCATGTAAGAGGCCCCAGAAGAAGCCCACCTAGGTGGACAGTGGCAGTGAGCCAGGGTTCATCACTGAGTGTGGCCCTGGTCCCAGTGTCTGGACATGGTTTGTGTATTAGGAGGCAAAAATGGGGGTTCAGTAGCCTCCCAGAGTCAGAAGACCTGAGCAGGAGGCTCAGCTCTTCTGTCTTGACTTCAAGTCAAGATTTTTGACAACTGCTGGTGAAGTCTGAGGCAATATGAATGGTGACGATAGTCTGTGGTCGCTTTCCTGTGCCACAAGGCTCTTTGAAATTAAAATCTCCAAGATTTGGGGAGCTAAATCGGGTGTTCTGTGGGTGCCCCAAGATGCAGCTCTGTGCTGTTGAGTATTGAAGTGTCTTCCTGGGGGCTGGGCTGGCAATCCTGAGAAGCCTCTCTGTGCCTGACCAAAACAAACTGTTGTGGCTGCAACAATGTATCTTTTATTACTATTATTATTTCTTTTGACATTGAGCATTCTGTGTGTAGCTAGACAATCCAGGAGGTAGAGCTGTAAGAGTGAACAGAGGGACAGAGAGAGGGGAGTTTCTCGTGATGTTTTTCACTCCAGATTCCCATGGAGTTTATCTAAAATATAAACAAACAAACAAACAAACACCACCCCTATATAACTATGCTGTGGCTTCCTTCGGAGCCTTCACACTAGATCTGCTTTAAGGATCCTGTAAGAGTGTCACCTGTGGCCGGGCGGTGGTGGCGCACGCCTTTAATCCCAGCACTCGGGAGGCAGAGGCAGGTGGATCTCTGTGAGTTCGAGGCCGGGCTGGGCCGATAGCCTCCGAAACAATACAGAGAATCCCTGTCTTGTAAAAACCAAAAAAAAAAAAAAAAAAAAAAAAAGAGTGTCACCTGTATTTAGGTCTTTTGGATGTGGATCTAGTTCCTTAAACCATCCCTGCCTTAGCTGTCAGCCATTGCTGCTCACGGTTCTCCTGCTGATGGCTAGACAGTGTGGCCCTGCACCTTCATGACTGCCCAGACCAACACTGTCATCCGGAACACTGGGCCATGGCAAACCTTCATAGAAGAGTTGCTTCCCTGGTTACTTTGAGCTTCTTTTTGTGTCCTTTGTAGCCAGTTTCCTCACTTCCAGACTATCAGCTGAGAAAGAAAGACAAAATGTCATTTGCGTTTGGAAATGCACTCTTTGTTCCTTTAGATCACAAAGGAACAAAGTATTTGTTAACTTTTCCATTTGTATTTAGCAAAATTTACTGACCATGGATCAGATCCTGTCTGTGGAAGAGACCCAGATTAAAGATAGAAAATGCATATTATTCAGAATAAAAGGAGGGAAGCAGTTTGTCCTGCAATGCGAGGTGAGTTTTCATTGACCTTCAGAGTAAAAAGAGACAGGGATGGGCATATTCCCAGGACTCTCACCACGTCCCCAAGCTTCTCCTTGTCACTTTCACAGACTTAGCCGGTGTGAGTTTAGGTAAATTAAATCACATCCAAGTGTTAGCAGAGGAGAGAGCACAATGATGTGATAGTTGAGTCTGGGGACTCTCCTGGGGTCTGGAGTCTGATCGTCCAGCTAATTTATTATTTATTGCTCTCATTTCTGAGACTCCAAAGGGACTTTTGGGGGGGTTGTCTTTGTTTTTGTCTGAGTTGTACTGTACTTCAAGTTTCATCTTGGAACACTTTCCCTTGGTGTACTGAGGTATATGCACACATGTATTTCACAGGATGAGGGAGACAAACTGGTAGGACAAGGACACCCTTTAGCTTGTTATATAGTCTGGCTGGCCTGACACTCGGGACTCTGCTGACTTGGCTTCCCCAGTTCTGGTGTTACAGGTGGACACAGGAGCTTCAAAACTACCTTAGATGTGCAAGAGGGTGTTCTACAGCATCAGAAAACCCTCTTCCCTATTATTATTCTATGATCTGTGGTCTTAGGACCCAGAGAAAATCCTCAACTAGATTAAGGCAGTATTACAGGAAATCCACCAGGAGAGCCCAGAACTAGCTTCCCACTATCTGGAATTTCTCACCAGGTTTCAGGGGACCTGAAGGTGAAAGCAAGGCTCAGGGTCAACAGACAGAGTGTATCCTCTTTCAGGCTCCAGGGACCTTAGCCATTTGTAGATACTTTTGGCAGATGGGTGGAGCAGTCCCAACATCTGCCTGTGTCTCTGTGCAGAGTGACCCCGAGTTTGCACAGTGGCTGAAGGAGTTGACATGCACCTTCACTGAGGCTCAGAGGCTGCTGCGCCGTGCCCCCAAGTTCCTCAACAAACCCCGAACCACCATCCTGGAGTTCTCCAAGCCACCGCTGTGTCACAGAAATAGCAGCGGCCTCTGAACCACAGAGCAGCAGGGCCTGCAGGAGGGGCCCCGGCTCTTCAGCCCAGGAATCAGCCCAGGAGTGGAGTGGAGCCACAAGGAGCCATGTGGAGCTGAGACACAGCAGTTCTGAGTACTGGGCTGCTCCAGGCTGGGGATGCCCATGACATCAAGATGGCCCTGCAGGAGTTGGGACATCCTCTGGACTGACCTGTCCACACGTGAAATTACTGGAGAAGCAGAAGGTGTTTCTCTGCGCACCCACTTACTTTGGTATCCACGGACTCAGAACATGAAATGAGCCTTACCACTCAAGCTCTCGTGTCTGGCATAAAGCATATCTGGGGTGGGACCACAGTGTCCAGGACTGATGTATCTGTGTGCCTGCCTGAAGTTTGGGGGTTGTGGCTCCAAATCTTGGAGGAGGCACAGTAGCCTAGGGTCCCTGTAGGTCAGGGATAGCTCCTAGCTGTTTCAGAGGTGATGATGTAGCACAGAGTACCATGTACACTGCCTGCCTCTGATGGTTCTGCTCCAGGAATGCCAGACAGAGGGCAGAGTTAGGAATGTTCCCTTGAGGAATCACCACAGCATCCATCAAGGCCACTTCTGGTCAACACGACCAGAAGAGATGCCCCAGGACTTCAAGTCAAGCAGGATATAGGTAACCCACCAAGCAGTACGTGTACAAGCTCAGGGTCTCCATGATGGCAGGTCTATGGCCAAGTCCTGCTTCTTCTGCCTGGCCTGAGAAGTATATCCAAGGATCTGTCTGAGGCAAAAAAGAATTGCTGCCTTGCCCTTCAGTATAATTTATAATGAACTCACACTGATGGGTGACAGTGTCCAGGGGTCTCCTGTTGTACCCTGGCATGACCCTTATCTTTCTGTCATTAATGCACTATGCACCGGGTTGTTCCGATAAGGGGCTGCAGATTGCCCAGCACCCTTCCCCCAAAGATTATTTCCTCCACTGCTGCCCTGAGTAAATTCTGGGTCTCTGTGCCACCACGCTGAAATAGAAGTCCTGGAAGGTCTCCATGGACTTGTCAAGTTCCTGGGGGCTGTGTTACAGAGTCGCTAGACAAACTGCTGAGCACATAAAGAAACCTGGCATTGAAACTCTTTGCATTCTGTCCTGGATCTTTCTAACAGTACCCAGTGTGTATTCTCGTGTTCATGTTCTGGGAAAATAAGGTGTTTATTAATTTATTTTAAAATCGCAATTATCTTTTGAGAGTTTGGAAGATAATGTATCTGTTACTGTGCATGTGTGTGAGGGACCTGTGGGTCTCGGTGCCCATTCAGGGTCTGAGTTTGCATACATGTGCCACTGTTCACTGCCTCCAGTGTGGGACTGTAGCTGCAACCTAGTAGGACACCCTGCTTGCTTGCTTAACTAACTAGTGTGCAGATTTTATTGCACACATGCACATGTAGTTAAGTACTGATGTCACTGTGTGGGTGTGACTGGAATGGGCAGCTCACCACACAAGCTCTATCAGACCTGCAGGGGCAAGGGCTGCAAATCTGGCCTTTTCAGGGAATACACAGGAGCCTCTCCCATCAGGACGGTGACTTGACCTCTGCAGGTGTTGGGCTAGCCAGAGTAAATCTTGTATTGGAGTTATAGCCATACCAAAGGGTTTTACAAGATCATGGATCCTGTACCCAGATAATACTGAGGCAGACTCTCACAGACATCATGTATTATTATTTCAGAGGAGTCAGTTTTAAGGCCCCTTCTCTTTTAAAGGAGCTATGTTTGTGTTTGGGGTGGGTCTCCTAAGAGTCCCCCTGCCTCAGACTTAATCTAAGTAAACCTTTTTAATCCCCTCAACCCCATTTCCCTCATAAGGACACAGCTAAGAGGGAGGGACGATGACCCTTGCCTGCAGTCCTTAAGATTCGCACGGGTGGATGATGGGTCATCAGGTCTTTCCACCCAAGCACGAGGTGAGGGGGTGTCATGGGCCCACAGGGTGGATGGAGTCACCAGCTGAGTTTGCCATGCATGGCTGTTTGAGAGTTTCCTGTCACGTTAGTGGATCCCTAGATGCCAGGTGCTTCTTGTACCATTAACAGAACAAACCCGTGTTCTCCTTATTCTGACTTCTGGAGCAGAATTCTTAACATGATCCAAGATGTTCTAGGTGATGCTGTTTTTATACAATCAAGTTCTGAGAAGCCTCAGTTTCATAAAACAAGAGAATCAGATCGTTTTAAAGCAGCTATATGACACATACCTTTGGCAAGCCCCGGTTTGTTTATTTTTTAACCTAAAATAGCCTCTTGCCCTTGGGGCTCCCCACTCATGCCTCCAGCATGATTCTTTTCAGCAAAGCCTGTAGAAATTGCCTCACTGTCATGGTTGACAGGGGAACCTGTCTCACTGTCTGATGCAGGGACCTGCACAATGATGGTCCCATTAGCTGACGTTACAAACTGTGTAAAACCAGCAATGAAGTGTGGATGGTGGGGAGAGATGACATCCTTTCGAGAAAGACATCATTGGGCAGACTTGATGCAGCAGTTCTATGAGTCCAGCCTTGACTGACAGAGGCAGGAGGCTTGTGAGTTTGAGGCTAGCCTGGGATACATAGCAAAACCCTGCCTTCAGAACACCAAGGGCTGTGGCAGTAGCTCTGGGGCCAAGCTCTTGTCTGGAATGTTCATGGCTCTGGGTTTAATCCCCAGTGTGCATGGAGGGTGGGAAACCTACTGTTAGCCAACTAATAAGATTTAGCCTGAGTGGCCCCTTGACCTCGGCCATGTATCTATTAGAAGCAGCTGTTCTGAGGCCCCACTGGCCACGATTATTCACCAGTGGACAGTGCGGTGAAGGGTCAGGGCTCCCCAGGACAGGAACTGGACCACTTCAGGTACCTGGGAAGCCAGGGGATGCCATGGTCAGAGCAGGTAGAGAAGGTTTGCTTGGCTGGCTGATGGAAACCATTCTCCTGACATGACAGAACACCAAGGAAGGGATGGTGGATGCTGGTGGGAGATTCCCTGGGAATTCCCAAGTGATGTCTACAAGGCTTGGTTGCTGTTCCCGAGACCTCGTTGCTTCCCTCATGAAGGAGCCGTGCGTTATTCACTGGACATTCTCAGGAAGTTCCCCCATCATGGTATATCCCTGGACACTGAGCGAGTGCTTTGTAGCCTAGGCAGAGACAGTGTCCTGGTCACTGTTATTGAATGTACTGCCGGGGTGGGGGGAGGTGTCCAGCTTGGTCCCAGGGAACCCCAGGATGACAACACGGGCCTTTCTGCACGTTTAACTCCATATCCACTTTGAAATTTCATAACTTAAAATTTCAAAATTAAAAAACAAAACCCCCCCTTTTTTCCCTGAGTGATGTTTACTTGAAAGTCTTAATTGCTCACATCTGCGTTAATATGATTGCTTTATTCGGGTCTCCTTTTCGTTTGTCTGTTACCATGGAATGAAGAAGGCTGAACTGTAAGCCTCTTCTCCTGAGTTGTGATGGACTTTAGGGTTTTCCTTGTTGAGTTGCTTTCCTTAAAGAATAAGAGAGAACTGAGCACAGCCTCTCATATCCCTCATCCCTAATGTTCAGGACGCTGAGACAGGAGGATGACAAGTCCCAGGACAGCCTGGGCTATGTAGTGAAACCCTGCCTTAGAAATAAGTAACTAACAGACTAAGAGTTGTTGCTTTATGACACAACACAGGTGTGACCACTCCTACCAGCAATGGGGAGGTGCTGTGTCCCTGAGATGTGTAGAACCCACACATCTTTAACGGCCGTTCTTAAAGACAGAGACCTCACAGGAAGTGGGTTCAAAGTATTCGCCCTTCATGAAGAACAAAAATTAATTCAAACCCATAGCATAGAGTTAGGTTCTCAGCATCAGAGTCCTTCTGCAAACAAATACCTACACTTCCTTCCCTTTTCATTTTGCCCTGGAGGTAAAATGTCTTTGATGGGGGGGGGGGGTAGGAGGGGAGCAATCATTCCAATGTCAACTGTGATTTTTGTTTGTTTCCTTGGTTGTTTACCTGCCCATTGATTGTACACAATGCATGTGGATTATAAACTCAACACACTGGCTTTTTTTTTTTTAGTTCAGTTGTTAAATTATATTTTTCTATGTTCTACGTGATAGCAGACCTGGCTTTTTCTGTTACAGAGATGGATGGACCTGTAGCTATGAGACAAGAGTTCTATTTTTTAGCACAAAAAAAGCATTTTATATTATTTATTGAATCTGTATATGTGTTCCCATGGAAACCATCTGTATTACTGCTCCTTGTGATCTGAGTGTATAGTTTGTTATTTAAAGAGATGGCAGCCTTTTGTGTTGTTGAAACAATAAAACTGAGCTCCTACAAGCAGCAGCGGGAGGCGGATGTCTCATTTCTCTGGCTTGGACTGTCCTCAACTGAGGCGTGCACATGGGTTTTATATCGCATCATGGGTGGCTTGCCAGAGATTGATCTCCTAACCCTCTCCTCAGAAGGCACTGAGAGTGCTGTGCCCCAGGCTGACTACCCAACACTTCAGAGAATGAGCTCCTGTCACTCCCTCAAGATGCTGATCTGGTTTCAGACCCAGCCTTTTCCACCCTGTAAGCAGGGCAGATAGATTCCTTCTGTAGCCAGCATGCCCCCCTAGGGGTCAGGGACGCCCAGCATACTTCAGCCTTCTTGTCCTGTGCCGTCCCTTTCAATCTTAGTGGCCTCTGTGTACAGAAATCACAGCAGCACAGCCCCCTTTCCTCTCTTTTATATACAGCAAGTTGCATTTTAAAATTGCTCTGGGGAGAAGCTGTTTTGCTGGGTTTTCTTACCCCTTTCTATTAGCAGTTTGGAAAATGGAGTCATAGAAACAAACTTTTTCACCTAGGAATGGCCTGCTCAGGAACTGTTTCTTCCAAGGTTTGGGTGGAATGGGATAAAGGACAGTCCCTTCCTGTGTACTGACTACACTCTCTGCTAAGTGAGTAAGACCTTCAAAGAAGTTAATCGGTTTCCTGCTGTTCACAGCTGCACAAAATGAAGCCAGTGAGACCTGGACACTGCGTAGAACACCAGCATTTGCTTTGTCTCTTCATACTTACTGTGTTAATGAGAGTTTGCAACGCTACATAGAGCCCTCTGGGTAGCATCTCAGGAACAGTGGAAGCGGTTTCCCACGTGAGATGTTTCATTGCTCTAAGTCTCTGTTCATTGGCCCTGGGTATGGTATCACCATCAGTCCATATTATTAGTCACCAGCCTTTAGTGTGGTATCCCACAGTGAGTCCATGTCACCAGTGACCAGCCCTAGGGATGGTATCACAGTTACTCCATATGAAGAGCCGCTGGCTGTGAGTGTGGTGTGCCACAGTCACTCCATATCACCAATTACTGGCCCTGGGTGTGGTATGCCACAGTCTGTGCTGTGGAAAACCATAACATCTATCAATCTGCCTACAGGATGACTTGAGTTCCCTTCCAGGAGAAATGGCTCCTGCCTTGAGCCCTGCCCCCCTGTTCTGTGGAGATGTGCTGAGAGGCCTTTGTGGTGCTTATCACTTTAAAGCAGAACCACAAGCCACAGCTGCCTGGGAAGGATTCTCTGCTGTGGGTCCATGGTCAGGGGTCAGCTAGGTAACCCCCATCTTGGAGCTGGACAGGAAATGCCCTGTCTCTTATTAATTTGGGAAGAAAGGAAGTCACCACCTGCCTGACCAGGTCACCGCCGAGACTCCCTGGAGTGTCTTAGTGCTGACTTTGAAACTCATCAGCCAAATAGCCTTTGGGCGTGTAGCCACTCTGTGGGCAGAAGGCACTGCCTTGAGTGAAATGTCGATGTGACACATTTGTGACCAAGGCTGAAGAGCTCCTGGCCCTCTGGAATACCATGAAAATGCCATCGCTCCCTAGGTAATGGCATGAAAGGATACTGGCTTTACTCCAAGGATACTCAACTCAACCCTCAGCCAGTCACTTTGAATAGCACAGCTCCTGTAACTTCTGTGTTTCTCTTTCCCTCTGTCTGTCTGTCTGTCTGTCTGTCTGTCTGTCTCTCTGTCTCTCTCTCGTGTGTGTGTGTGTGTGTGTGTGTGTGTGTGTGTGTGTGTGTGTGTGTGTGATCTCCTGGACTTTGTTTTCATTGTGGGAGAAGTTGACTGTAGCTTCCAGGCAATATATTCACTAGGCTGTTTTAAGATAGTCTTGAGCCTTGAAGAATATCAGTGTGGTGAGATGTTTACAAGACATATCAATGCGTGGCACGGAGTACCAGACCACAGAGGTCCCAGCCTGGAAAACACGCTCGTGTATCCAGCACAACTGTGGAGGGGCAGGTCACCCGCAGCAGTGGTCACCTAACCTGAACCACCATGTGCTTGTGTGTTTATGTTACTCTCGTGAGACCCACAGACCTGACTTGGGACCGGCTCAGAAACGGGGTCTACTCAGGTGGCCTTTGGGTAAGAGAGGAAGGAAGCTGGTGCATTTTCTCCTCCCCACAGGAGCTCTGGGTCAACTGTCAACCTCACTCCCCTCTATGTGGCTTCCCTGCCTTCCCCTCTTCAGTCCAGGAGGCTGGTCCTGCCATTGTCCCCTCAGGTCCCCACTCTCCTTGTCAGCTTCCTAAGTGCTGCTGTGACTGTCTGTCCAGAGACCTTTGTATTCTCTGTACCTGGCAGACAATTTGAGAACCCCTCCAACTCCTGGTGTCACACATCGGACACCTGTCCTCGCTTGCTTCCTATCTCTCCGATAAACATCATGACCAAAAGCAGCTTGGGGAGGAAAGGGTTTAATAGATCCTATACCTCTCAGGTCACAATGCAACGTTGAGGGAACTCAGGGCAGGACCTGGACGCAGAAGCTGATGCAGAGGCTACAGAGGAACATTACTTACTGGCTTTATCCCCAATGGTGTCCTCAACCTGCTTCCTTATACACCCAAGACCATCAGACCAGGGGCGACACCACCCTTGGTAGGACTCACGGTGCTCCAAATCAATTATTAATCAAGAAAATGCCCCATATGTTCGTCTGTAGGCCGGCGTGGTGGGGACAATTTCTCAATTGTGGGTCCCTCTTCCCAGATGACTCTAGCTTGTGTCAAGTTGACAAAATCCTGACCAGCACAGGTCCCTTGCTGCAAAGTCAGTGCAGTGTTGAGTTTATGACAATATGATATGATGTTCGATGGCAAGGTGGGGCTCCCCCAAAGCCCTGCCCTTCCCCCAGCCTGGGATGGGAACTTTGAAAAGGCAGGTTCTGAGCCTCGACACTATGGACCTAAGAGACCAAGTGACTCATTGAGGGTATTGTGGGAAGTTTAATGATGTCCCCATTCTCTCCATGGATGCCAGAACCCAAACCTCTACAATCTAGGATCTCCAGAAACTGCCACAGGTTCTTTAGGAACAAAAGGGGACAAAACCGCTCCCAGTTGAATTCCACAGTTTACAAGAGGGTGTGTTTTGCCATGTTGGAGTTAAGACTGGGCAGGACTCCATGGGTGAGTGTTGAGGCCAGGGTTAGTGTCTGGAGCCCTGACTTCTCTGAGACGGCATGAGGCCACGTGGTTGCAGTGGACACATCTTCAGGCCAAGGAATTGGTATGGCATCTGACGACTGGAGGTCACACCACCCTGAGCCCAAACTGAAAGAACTGTGGCCATTAGGTGGTGGGAGGGGACCTATGCAGTGTTTCTGACACAGGTCAAAGCCACAGGACACAGTGGGGCAGGGACAGGGCACTCCATGCCTCTCCTTCAATGCAGGATGAGCTCATGGCTTTTACGGTGCTTGTAGGTGCTAGGGAGAGTAAGCACAGCCATGTCTGCCAGGCCACAGTTTACCGGGGTCATCCATGGTCACCTGGGCACCGGACAGAAGCAACGGTGAAGATGGTAGACATGCATACACCACCCACCTTGGCAAAATCATCATGGGTGACCTTGACTGATGCCGTGAGCCAATCAGATCTTTCTCAGAGAGACTGACTGGCCCAGTGACTTGGGGTACTGTCATCAGATGTTCTCAGCTGTCATCTCCTTTGGGGATGCCTCAGCAACATAGTGTCACTCACTCAGTGCCATGCCCTTCCTCCAGTCTCTGTTTGACACTGATATAAAGGGCTGTTTTTTTCCTAAGGAGTGTAGAAAAATAAATCCAGAAAATGCACAGAGGTTGACAGAGGTGGTCCTGGGACCTCCCTGTGCCCAGTCTCAATGCAATTCCAAAGATTCAGACACCTGCTCACTGAACCCTGCCCTGTTTGAGCTCCTGTCCTGACTTCCTTTAGTAAGGACTCTGGAAGTGCAAGCTGAATTAACCCTTTCCTACCCAGTTGCTTTTGGTCATGCTGTTTCATCACAGCAACAGAAACCTTGACTAAGACAGATTGGGACCAGGATAGGAGGGTTTGAAACTTGGAGATAGAAAAAGCCATTGAGTGTTGATATTTTAGTGAGCTGTTCTGTAGGAACTTGGAAGGTAAGAATGTTCAGAGCGGTGCAGATGATGGGGGCCTGGCTTGTGAAGTATAGAGGGGAGCCAAGGCTCTACTGGGCCATTTGTGTGAAGAATCTGTGGTATCTGGTCATCTGGAGCTGAAGAATTGGCTGTGATTAACGAGAAACCAGAACCACAGAAGCGAAACCTTTGTTTTACTGGGACAGTGGATGCTGGCCAGCTGGGGCTGAAGAATCAGCTGTGATAAAGAAGAGACCAGCATCACTGAGGTGAAGTCTTCTGGAAAGTGTGTCCTGAGGGTCAGCACTCAGAAGCTGTGTTCCAGAACCACCAAGGCTGCACCTCATGCTGGCAGCTGAACTCGGTAATGTAAAGCCACCCAGGTGTGACTGGTTTTGCAGGCCTGAAGGGGCCATGGAGAGCAGCTGAGGCTTGGCACTGTGTAGCCGGGCTGGAGACCCTGAAGAGAGCCCAGGAGAGGCTGTTTGTGAAAGTGCAGCCCAGTTGCAGCAGAGACCCAGCATTTTGGAGATGTGAGTACCATGGGATGACCACCAAGAACAGCAGCAGTGGTGGAGTGGAGCCAGCCAGAGTCTAGAAGACAAGCCGTGTGTGCTGCAGGGGGCGGAGCCAGAGAAGTGACCCAGGCCCTTGGAGGAGCCCAGAAGATGATGAATGAATCCAAGATAATTGAACATTGAGTTATTTATAGTTGGAGTTTGGTTTTGCTTTGTTCACATTGTGACTGTGTCTTGGTTCTTCTCTCTTGAAGTAAGAAAGTATTTGTTTTTGATTTGACAGGAATCCACAGTTGAGAGACCTTGAACTTTTAAAAGAGACTTTGGCTTTTTAAGGAGACTGGATGTAATACTGAACTTGTAATGTGTTTGAATTTGTAAAGACTGTGGGACTTC